CGTGTGCGTGCTCTCTCTCTCCCTCACTCTCTCTCTCTCTCAAAATTGCTTTGTATTGGCTTGCAAAGTACACATAATGAAAGTCTATCTGGTATATCCCTTTATTTTCTTTGAACGCTCAGTTCGTCTCCAAAATGACAATTTCCAACTATTATTGTCATTCTGATCCCTTCTTTATCCTGTCCCCCATCCCCACCCCTCACTATTGTGGCAGGCTTCCAACTATTGACCAGTCCTCCTGGCCTGTAAGGATAAGTTTTATTCCAATATTTTCTTCTTTTTTGTTGTTGTGTTTGGGACTCAATTGACAGTGCTCAGAGTTTACTCCTGATTCTGTGCTCATGGTTCCCTTTTAGAGGTGCTTGAAGGACTGTATGCAGTGCCGGGAATTGGGTCCATGCTAGGCAAGTGCCTTTACTCTTGTACTCTCTTCTCAACCCTCCATTCTGGCTTCTGTAATGAATCATCACTAATTAAAAATCTGTATCTCCTGCCTCCTCTTCTGTTTGCTCTCCTCTGCCTCCTTTATAACCATGTTCCAGTTTTATCGTCTTAGAAACAGCAGCCCTCTTCATAAATAATGCTTTGCTTCATGCCTGTTTTCACAGAGTTTCTTGAAATTAGTTGAGTGTCTTGGTTTCAACAGTGTCTGTTTTTTCTCCTATCATTTAAATAAGTACCAAAAATTTAAACGAAACAGTCCTGTTTTAGTTATACTGATTGAGTGATTATATAATGCTGAGGAGACCTTTTAATTTCTTCATCTCTGGTTGTGTTGATGCGTAATATGATTAATCCTGCCCTTTGAAAGTTGATTAATTTGATTTTCCTTTGGCTCTGTGAGTGTCCCTCTTCGTCACTCCCACCCTCTTCGTCATTCTCTAGCCACTTTTTCCCTCTCCTGTGTCAAGGATTACATTTAGGGTCTCATTCATAGCAAGCGCACTGTTATAAGCCCCCAAATCTCTTAAGTCTTTTTTTTTCTTTCTGCTTTTTGGGTCATACCCGGCAGTGCACAAGGGTTACTCCTGGCTCTGCACTCAGGAATTTATCCTGGCCGTGCTCGGGGGATCATATGAGATGCTGGGAATCGAACTCGGGTCGGCCGCCTGCAAGGCAAATGCCCTACCCGCTGCGCTCTCTCTCCAGCCCCCGAATCTCTTAGTTTTAATCATGTGTCTTTTCCATGGTACTTGCAGAACTGTTTGTTCTCCCTATCTGATACATTTACCCTGTGATTTTAATTACTCCGTTTCTGTTTATTTTGGTTTTGGGGCCAAACTCAATGGTGCTCGGGGCTTTCTTGAGACTGTGCTCAGAGATCACTCCTCGCCGTGCTCAGGGGAGCCTGTGGGATGCCATGGAATGAACTCGGGTTGCCAACATGCAGGGAAAATACCTTACTTCACTATCTCTCCGGCCCCTAATTACATTCTGTATATTCAGAACTTCCAAGTGTTGGTCAAGAATTACCAAACTCTAAACATATTTATATGCTGCAATGAAGCTTAAAATGCCAGTGTGTCTCATTTTTAGTGACAATGACTTTGACCCAGATTTCTCCATTAGAGGGCACTCACTCAATTTTCACTAAATAATAAAAATCAGATTAATATAAGTAACCTATTTTCCAGTTAGGGCTTGGACCAGGACCTTTGCATGCCAGACATATGCTCTGGCCCTTTGCGGTTCACCTTCCCAGCCCTCGAGTATTTTTGTGAGTGACTTTTTTTTTTTTTGCTTTTTGGGTCACACCCACCAATGCACAGAGGTTACTCCTGGATCATGCACTCAGGAATTACTTCTGGCAGTGCTTGGGGGACCATATGGGATGCTGGGAATCGAACCCAGGTTGGCTGTGTGCAATGCCCTACCCACTGTGCTATCACTCCAGCCCCAAATTTTAAATTTTTAAGGGCTTTCTTTTGTTTTTAACTGTTACTTGTTCAGCCATTGATTAAGCTGATTGAATTGGGCATGAGCTCCACATTACTTTCTTTTTAAATTGTATCACCACGAGATAGAGTTACAAAGCTTTCATGTTTGAGATTCAGCCATACAATGATGGAACACCCATCCCTCCACCAGTGCACATTTTCCCAGTCCTCACCCTGCCTTTATGGCAGACAGTTTCCCCCATACTCTTCCTGAACTTCTGGGCATTCTGTTTTGCTCGAAATTTCCCACCACCATTCAAGCCTACCTGCCAGGGGAAGTCGCTAGATGATTTATTTTCCATTGCTCATTCTGAGTATCATGAGAGCTCGCACTGCTGTGACTGTATATGTCAATTTCTAGATTGTAAATGATTGGGTTTCGGAGACATCTCTATATGGTACTAATGCATTCTGGGATTCAGTTGGGAGTCTCTGGGCCAGGGCTGTTGGTGCGCTAAGGTGGAACCCAGAGGCAAATTGTGGGCGTGACAGCCAGTCCTGGGCGGGCGAGAACCTGGGGAGGGACAGCCTGGATCCTCTGCCTCCATGTGGCCTGGAGATTTAGTTCTGGAACCCACATACCTGGGCCTTTCTTGTGGAAGCTCTGGGTCACCGGGATTCCATCTGGAGCAGGTGGGCAGAGCACACCTGCTCCATCTGGGGTGCTCCGGTGAAATTGGCTCAGAGATCTCTGGTGCCGTGTTGTCTTCCGGGACTTGCTGCTGTGTCTCTGGGTCAGGACTGTTAGTGTGCTAAGATCCACATTACAAAATTTTTAGCAGATTGTATCTTGGTGAGGTCCATCCTGAGGTGGTGGGGGCAGGCTTGGGGGTATGGCGGTGATTTTGGATTGTGGAAGCAAGTGGAGTGGCTGCTGGGGGCTCTGCTGGGCAGGCACAGGTCAACCCTCCCCCCCCCCTCCCCGCAATTTACCCCGGTCTGTTCAGTCACGTACGGGTGTGGCCCTTTCTGCGACTTTTGATCTCCTTCGAGATTTATTTAGGGGTCTTTGAAGTAAGGCCTGCAGTAGAGCTTACAGAATGGTGCCGGAATTGGCTTGTGGGGGTGACTGTCAGTGCTTCCCTGTATATTGGGAAGTGGGAGGAGGTAGCCCACCCCAACTCTGAGGAAACCTGGAGATTTCAGTCAACAAAACCCGAATGCCCGAATTTTCAGCAGATTATATCTTGGTGAGGTCCATCCTGAGCCGGTGGAGTCAGGCTGAGGATATGGCAGGGATTTTGGATTGTGGAAGTAAGTGACTGCTGGGGTTTCTGCCTGGGCAGGCACAGGCCAACCTGCCCCCCTTTATTTATCCCAGTCTGTTCAGCCATGTGCGGGCCGAGAGTAACTGTGGCTTTGGATCTCCTTAGGGATTTATCTATGGGTCTCTGAAAAAAGGCCAATAAAGCTGAACCGGAGGTGGTTTGTGGGTGTGGCTCCCACACACCTAACTTTTGGCTGTTAAATTTCTTGGTAAATTTGGTCCCAAGTTGTCTGGATCTGGCTATAGGCACGGTGGCAATTTTGGGGTATCAGGAAGCCTGAAGGCACCATCAGACAGCTGATGCACTCACCCCGCAGGTACAGGTTGACCTGCTGGTGGCACCATACCCCTTAACTGCTATTTTGGCAGAGATATATAATCTTTGGCAGTTTTATATGATTTATTATTTTTAGTCTAGGCTATATACAAAAAGTTTTATTTTCTTACTATATTTTAAATAAATTTTTCTAATTGTCAATATTTAGAGATTATAGTTGATCTCAATTTGTAATATAATTGGTGTTTGTCAGGAGCTCTTCAAGTAATAGAATGCTAAATGACTAAACAGTGATAATAATTTTCATATAAGGACACATTCTATACTGAAGATTTTCAGATATAGTCTAGGCTAGTACAGTTGGTCATGAGGGCCCACTCTTTCCATCTTTCCTGCCTTACTTTCTTCAGAATATAACCTAATTGTAGTGTGCCCACTGGATTAGGTCTCCTAGAAGTAGGGAGAAAGAAGTTGGGACAGCTTTCTCGCACGGTGATTCAATAAAATTAAAAAAAAAAAGGCTTTCTCTGAGGAGTCAAAGAGGTAATGGGTTAAAGACAATCACCTTGCTTTGGACAGCCTGACCACTGCCCGGTGTATTCCTGGAAGCCCTTCCCTCCAGCACTATCGAGTGTGGCCCTTTAGACCTCTGAGCACTGCGGCTTGGGTAAACCTGAAGTAGCACTTGGGCCTGAAATAGCACTGCATTCTAGTGTCCATCTCTCCTCACCTTTCCTGCTGTGATGTGCCTGTTCCCTTGTCCATTCATGCCCACCCCAACCCTTACGCCTCAAAGTTTTCTGTTTTATTAGAAAATTGAAATTCTTTCTCAGTCTTTTGGTAATACTTCATTATTTTGCATGCTCTAGATCAAGATAGCATTCCCATCCCTTGTTGTGTCATGGAATGTTACTGTCACAACTGACACATGACGATGATTATTGATCTTTTAAAATGTTGTGTGATCAAAGATGTGTATTCATCAACAAGTCAGAGGCAGCAATGCCCTTGATTTATTAACAGCATTGTACCAGTTGTTATTAGTGTCTTGTTTCTAAAAGAACCAAATTGACAGTTAAGCTTTTGTAAAAGAGAGAGCATAGAGGTGTGTCTCGATGGTCAGGTGCCTGCCTTGCAGTTCAGTCCCTGGCGGTGTGCTCAGTGAGATCTCAGCAGCGCTGTCGCTGTGGTTCCCAGCACTACAATGAAGGGGGTGATCTCTGGTGCATTATGTGGGGGAGCACAGCCGCTGAAGTACGCAACCACCAGCCACAGCAGCATCATTAACAAAGGAAGGGAAGGGGGGAAATCAGATTAAGATAAGATTTCATTTTTGGAAAGGAGTCTGGTTGAACAGTATTTGGGTGACTGTTCAACTTAATGCAATTAGGCAATCTGTGAACTTAAAGGAGAGAAAAAAATTTTTCATTGCAAAGAGGATTTTGAAACTTTCCTTGGGTAAAAAGGGTGTTACCAAGATGATTAGACTAACGTCAGTTGCATTTCTTTTTATTTTTAGTCAGAATCTGGAGAAGTGACTCGAAACACAGAACTGAAAAAACTTCGAATTTTTGGGGCTGGTCCTAAAGTTGTGGGCCTGACTATGGGAACAAAAGATAAAGAAGGTAAAATCTGTTTATTGGTCTTAAAATAAAGTACTAAAGTATAATTACAATTTGAGCTTAATGCTGATTGTAGTCTACCTGGGATTTACTTAGTAATTAAAAACTTGAGATATGGTTCCTAAAGACATTTCTGTAGTAGTTGGTCTAAATTTTAAGGTTTCTTTATTTTATTTTATTGGATTTTTATGATATTTTGGAAGAGAGGGTTTTCTCTTTCACATTTAGTATGTGACAATTGAAGTTTTTAAAGACTAATATAATAGTAAAGTTGATGTTTCTCATCTGGTGATCTGAAGCTTACAGCTTCTAAATTCAAAGAGAAATAGAAGATTCTCTACTGTGTAGTGCCAATGTTACGATTTTTCTTTAAGTGTTTTTAATTGAATCACTGTGAAATACAGTTACCAAGTTGTTCATGATAGGTTTCGTCATAGAAGTTCTAATACTCATCCCTTCAGACCAGTGTACATTTCCTACCACCAGTATCCCCAGGAGCTTATGATTTAAATTCTAACTGTACTCCGGATATTTTCTGTAATTGCTTGATACAGAGTGGACATTTTATTTGATTAAATGATGTTTGAGGAAAGAATAATACTTGCAAGCTCTTGGCATGTATGAAATATTTGGTCAGTAAAATTGCTTGTGCAGGGTTTAACTCCCTGTGCCAGTTGTAAAGCTCTATTTAGGTCAGGTAGGTAGCTTCGGTCATTAGAATGTATGCTTCATACTCATGAGGACTGGTCCCAGTACCCCATCGTCCTCCCAGCACCACAGGATCAATCCCTTGCACAGAATTGAGAATAACCTCTGGTCACTGTGGGTGTGGCTGCCTAACACAAAATAAATGATCTCAATTTGATAAAGATGGTCTTGGGTATGTTTTCATTGATAAAATTTTATTGTAGGGCCTCAGAGATATATAGGAGGTAAGGCATTTGTCTTACGTTCAAGCAAGCATCTGGGTTCAATCTCTGGTGCTCCATATGGTCTCCTGTGCTCTCCAGGAGTAAGTCCTGAGCACAGCAAAACAAGAAAACAAACAACACAAGCAAACAACAAAAAGGTAGAATTTAATGCTCTAATCACAGGTCATAAATTTTTGAATTTCATGATTTGATTCAGTCATGGCAGATCGTAGACTGAAGTCTAAAGGTGATATATTCCATCATTCTCAAAACAATCAGTGTGATTTTCTAAGTGTGTTACAGTGTTCATTATTACCCTGTTGAGAATTAAACACTATTTTTTCATCCTTGCAATTATTGTATTGACTGGGAAATTATTTTTAAAACTTGTCTCTAGTTCCCAGTGAATACTTTATACAGGCAGTGTTGGAATTAATAGTTACTTGCACTGTAACCTTATTCCTTAGATTAGAATTCCAGATCTGCCATTTGCCGTGGTTTTGGACAGGTTAATTAATGGGGATTAATCATCTATTTACCTCATAATGTTGTGAGATTTTAATTAATTTTAAGTAGTGTGTAGCCCACAGTAAGCTGTTAACATTAGTTTTTGCTATTATTACATAACTATTTTTATTTCAAGACGAGGTCTCCCGAAGACGAAAAGTTACCAACAGGTCAGACGCATTTAACATGCAAATGAGACAACGGAAAGGAACTCTCTCTGTTAACTTTGTAAGTGTTCTGAGGTGTGCAGGAGGGAAAGGACTTATTTTAGTTTTGCACTTTTATCTTCCTGTAGCCTGGTATGATATTCAGTGTATTTAGTTGGAGGAGTTGATGGTGGGAGTGTTGTATATCCTCCAAGCTCTCTCCCCTTTGGAGAAGCCCAATAGTGTTTTCTATTGAATCTCTCTCTCTTTCTCTCCCTCTTTCTCTCTCCCTCTCTCCCTCCCTCTCTCCCTCCCTCCATCTTTCTCTTCCTATTTTTCTAAATACAACCAGTTTACTTAAAAAAAAAAAAGACTTGATGGTGAACATGAAGTTGTAGCTTTGGTTTATGATATATTAGTCTTGCGCTGTCCCATATACATTAGACTTTCCATAAGTACATGATGTGCTTTGTGAGTCACTCAGAATATAGATATGAACCTGTAACCCCTGAATGCTGTTATAGACAGTGCCAGTATTTCCTCTCTAGTAGGCTTTGCATATAGGAAGGACAACATGGTGTGTTTTATAAATTGACTTTCTAAACTACCCTTTTGTACTGTCTAGTCCTTCATTATTCTAATAGCTTAAAGTGCTTTCATTATCTTGTCTGCAGAAGCTCTAAGAAATTTAAGGATTTTTTTTAAAAGATGTTTAAATATAGTTACTTAAAATAATCAGGAACTGGGGATATAGTTCAATAGTAGAACCTTTGCCTTGCATGTGGGAGTTTGTGGATTTGATTCCTAGCATTGCATGTGTGTGTGTGCGCACACACACACACAAACAAAACAAAAGACCAAGATTTAAAATATTACTGCATTTCCTTAATAGCAATTCAGGAGTTTCTGTTAAAATTTTTACATTGGTGAAAATAGATTGTTTTGTTAACAACAAAACAAAAATATTGTTTTGTTTTTCAACAGGTTGATCTCTATGTTTGTATGTTTTGTGGTCGGGGAAATAATGAAGATAAGCTGCTTTTATGTGATGGATGTGATGACAGTTACCATACGTTTTGTTTAATTCCCCCACTACCGGATGTGCCCAAGGGAGACTGGCGGTGTCCTAAATGCGTTGCTGAGGTACAGGCCTGATCTTTGTGGTTCCTTTTAAAACTTCAATACATTAATGCATGCGTATATACATATAGCATAATCCACTGTCACTGTCACTCTCCTCCATTGTTCATCGATTTGCTCGATTGGGCCCAGTAATGTCTCCATTGTGACACTTGTTACTGTGTTTGGCACATTGAATACGTTACGGGTAGCTTGCTAGGCTTTGCTGTGCGGGCGAGATACTCTTGGTAGCATACATGTTCTGAAAATTTTTTTACTTTATTTGCTTGTCAGTTTTTTTTTTTTTTTGAGAGTCATATGGTGATGCTCAGGGGTTACTCCCTGCTCTGCACTCAGTAATTACTCCTGGCAGTGCTTTGGGGACCATATGGGATGTCGGGAATTGAGCCCGGGTTGACCTCATGTAAGGCAGATGCCCTACCCACTGTACTATCACTCCAGCCCCAGTCCGTAGGTTTTTTAACTTACGAAAAGGGAAAGTCAGAAATTAAACTTAGGACTATGACTTCATTCTAATATTCATGCTACCAAATACATGGCATTTTGTGTAGGAATTTTGACTGTACTAAATTATTTTTATTGAAAGCTTTAAATTAGTTTCAGTAAGAGTAATTTTATTGTATTGTCTTTAAATTCTGTGTTTATTTTAATAAAATGTTGCGATGGGATATTGAAGGGGGAAGGATTTGGTAGGGTAAGTAGAGTTATATTCCAAGGTCTTTTATGGTCTTTGAATTAATGTTGTTAATTATTCTCAAGGGTAGCTGATATAGAAGCTGTTTTCCTGTGTTTGTATTGAGAATTTGGTTGCTTGATATTGTGGGGAAAACAGCATTTTTCTAGCTATAGATATAAACAACTCCGTGGATATCTGTTTATCCATTTTCTTTCCTCCGTGAACATTTCTCCTTGGCTAGATTCACTGATGTGCTAAGAGTGATATGCGTCTCTGGGCTTGATTCCAAGTCAGTAAGTAGTCTTCCAGGTGTACATATTGGTGCCAGACCTTAATGCCAACTTCAGAGTCTAAAGCTCCCATTATCAACCAGCTACTTTAAACTTGTGAAAATTCATTTGAGATTTTAGAATGTAGTAACAAAATCAAGTAGTTAATTCTTGCTTTGCTATCTAGTGTTGATTGAATTTGCATTACTTCAATGAAATGATTTAAAAAGAAGGTGTTAGAGTATTAGTTAATCATTGATCATTTTTCCAGGAATGTAATAAACCTCGAGAAGCCTTTGGATTTGAACAAGCCGTGCGGGAGTATACACTTCAGAGCTTTGGAGAGATGGCAGATAATTTTAAGTCTGATTATTTCAATATGCCAGTTCATGTGAGTAGCTGCTGTTTTCTTTTTCCTTCCTTTGCTCTTTGGACCACACGTGGCTGTGTGCTTAGGGATCACTCCTAGCAGGGCTGGGGGATCATATCTGGTGTTGGAGAGCAAATGCGGGTCGGCTTTGTGCTGAATATATATCACTTTTTGGGTCACTTTGGGAAGGTATAAAGATTTATCTGAAAGTGGGATAGCTCGCTCAGTGGATCTCATGCTTTCCTTGCAGAAGGCTGATGGTTAATCCCCAGCACAGCCTCATCCCCCAAGCACTGCTGGGAGTGAACGTGAGCCCTGAGTCAAGAGTCGTAGCCTTGGGTACTGCTGATTTTGTTTCTCACCCCCTGAAAAAAAAACCAAAGATTTCTCTGAGTCCAAAGCTTTGATTTGCTTTTTATTTTCACTTTATGGAAAATGGAAAATAGCAAGAAAAAAAATAGGTTGGACACCAAATCTTTTTAGACATGGGAAATGAGAAGGTTTTCTGTTTGATTCAGAGTTTGTTTTCCCTTGACCTGGTGTCTTATTGCATAACAGTGGGGATATGTTCAGGGAAATGTATCATTAGGAGATATTTTATTGTGTGAATAGCATAGAGCATAATTCAGTCAGCATAGATGATCCAGGCTGCCACATCATAGAGTATATGGTTAGCTTACTGTGATCTCCATCGTGCATGTGGCCCATCACTGAATGAGTGTTAATACATTGACTTTATCATAAGTGGATTATGGTTATATATGTTAATAATTCATAATCTTTGTCTCCTCTATTGTAGATGGTTCCCACTGAATTAGTGGAAAAAGAATTCTGGCGGCTGGTGAGCAGCATAGAAGAAGATGTTATTGTAGAATATGGAGCTGATATCTCCTCAAAAGATTTTGGCAGTGGATTTCCTGTGAAGGATGGCCAGAGAAAAATGCTACCAGAAGAAGAGGTACAGGACTCATACTGATAGAAGTTACCAGACTAACCCCAGGCCGATTTAATTTTATATACTGTAGAAAATACCTTGTTTCACTTTATGCGACAATCTTATAATTTTATTTTATTATTATTATTTTTTCTTTTTTGCTTTTTTGGGTCACACCCGGCGATGCTCAGGGGTTACTCCTGGCTCATGCACTCAGGAATTGCTCCTGGCGGTGCTCAGGGGACCATATGGGGTGCTGGGAATCGAACCTGTGTCGGTCATGTTGGCTGCGTGCAAGGCAAACGCCCTAACCGCTGTGCTATCACTCCAGCCCCTATAATTTTATTTTAAATGAGAGTGGTCCATTAATTTGACCACAGATTTGGCCACGTTGGATTATGCAAATAATATTCAGCTTTAAAGGCAGTATATTCAGTGTGGCTTTAAAAGGGTATTTAACTCTACATTTACAACCAATTAGCTAAAAACTTCCAGCTGAAGAATTGTACTTAGTCCTTTCTTTTTGAAAACCTAGAAATGTATTTTAACTTCCTTTTGGAGGATGCAGTTGGAACTGGGGAACCCTGTGGTGGTGGTGATCAAACCCAGGCCTCTCACAGGCAATGCAAAGTATGCCCTTCAGTCCTTTGTGCCACTGTCCTGGCTCTAGTTTTTGGTGACAGCCCTGGAGCCCAGGGATTACTCCTGGCTCTGCCCTTAGGGATCACTCCTGGCGGTGCTCAGGGACCATACCTGGTGCTAGGGATTGAACCTGGGTTGACTGTATGCAAGGCAGATGCCCTATCCTCTGTATTATGGCTCTAGCCTCCAGTTTTTTGGGTTTTTTTTTTTTTTTTTTTGCCAAACTACCGAGAGTATTTCACCCACACGGCAAAGCCTGGCAAGCTACCTGTGACGTATTCGATATGCCAAAAACAGTAACAACAGTCTCACAATGCAGACGTTACTGGTGCCTGCTTGAGCAAATCTATGAACAACGGGAGGACAGTGCGACAGTGCTTTAAAGTACATCTTAATTGGTCTTAGATTGTGGCTAAAGTGGTAGAGCCACCTAGAGTTTGATGCCGGAATACTTCTGGGTGTTACCTGGTGGCCCTTTCCCCAGGCATCATTGGCTATGATACCAATCCCCGAAAGCACCCTCTCCCTCTCCTTCATTTCAGTTTGAAATCTCATATTACGTTTCAGTAAACATCTGGGCATATGGGTTTTTTTTTGGGGGGGGGGTCACATTAGATGGTGCTCAGGGGCTTCTTCTGGCTCTGCATTCAGGAATTACTCTTAGCAGTGCTCGGGGAACCATATGGGATGCCGGGGATTGAACCCAGGTCAGCCATGTGCCTGCTGTACTACTGCTTTGATCCCTTTAATTTCACTTTTTAAATTGATTGAGGTTCTGTGATTTACAATCCTGTTGTCACTGTCCTCCCATTCATCGATTTGCTCGAGCAGGCCCAGTAACGTCTCCATCATGAGACTTGTTGTTACTGTGTTTGGCATATCGAATATGGCACGGGTAGCTTGCCAGGCTCTGCCGTGAGGGTGACATACTCTCGGTAGCTTGCCGGGCTCTCCGAGAGGGGTGGAGGAATCGAACTTGGGTCAACCATGTTGGCCGCTTGCAAGGCAAATGCCCTACCCGCTGTGCTGCGGATAAGAAACCAGCACCACACCTGCCACACATGTACTCACCTTTCTCCCTTGAAGACCACAATAATCTCCCTTCTAATCCACCTGCTCCCTACAGGTCAGTTGTGTGGATCCTTTCTCCTCGTATTGTTACACAGGTTTTAAAATACTTACTTTACTATACTGCATAATGAAGTCCTGTAAATGTTGTCATATTTGTAAGTCATCATCATTTTTCTCTTTTCTAAAGAAGTGCTTGGGTGGTAGCGAGCAGTACCTGGGGTCACCTCCAGTATGCTTGGAGGATCATTCAGTCGTGCTCCTGATTGAACTCCGGGTTCCCGTCTGCTCTGTAGCTCTTTTAGCCCTGTCCCCAGCCCCTTCTCTTTACTTTGGTCCTTCTCATTTTTTCCCCTTTTCTCTGTTTTGGCAGCATCAAGAGTTTTTTATTAAAGAGTTATACTTGGGGACTGGAGAAATAGTATCGCAGGTAGGGCGCTTCCCTTGCACGAGACCAAACCAGGATCAATCCCTCACACTCCGTATAGCCCCTGACACCCCCAGGAGTGATCCCTGATCGTAAAGCCTGGAGTAAGCCTCTGGCACTGCATGTTTGCCTGAAAACTGAAAAATAAATTGCAAAGTTATGTAAATAGGGAAGTCACAGAGTATAGAATAAATAAAAATACAATAAAAAGTATAGCCTTGGTGTATTGGATAAACACACTTTTCGGGGTGTGTTGAATAACTGGACAAGGGCAAGGACAAACAAGGTATCGAGGGTCGGAGACCTAGATCACCTGGATTATATAGGGCCTAAGGATATGGAAAGAAAAGAAAGCAAGAAGAGGCGGATGGAGGGTAACAGGGAGGCGTTCCAGACATGCTGCCGGGGAAGAAGTGGTAGTAACTGTGTATCTGAACCAGAGAAACCACAAAACTACACAGCGTGAGATCCAAACTGCACTTCCCAACATTACGAACGGGCCTGTCAAAGAGGCAGGCTCAGTGCTGGGAGGGCAATGGGGGTTGTTGGTGGAGGGAAGGTTACACTGGGGACAGGATAGGTGTTAGAAAACTAGACCTGAAGCTCAGCTGTGAGTAATTGTAAATCAGTGCCCAAATAATTCAATTTATAATGTTAAAAATAACAAGATACAAAGGTTAAAGAACTGTATGCCCAAGAGTAGTGGCATTAAATGAAAGAAGCTGAAGTGAGCACCAAAACGTCTGACTCCGAACATATAGTATTCCCAGGAGGAGCTAAGTATTGAGTCAAAATGAATAGTTTTGATCCCTGATACATGTGCATATATGTAATCAAATTATTTTTCAATTTGAATTTTTTTTTCCCTTCAAAATGCACTCTCTGCAAAACCAAATAGTACAGCGGTAGGGCGTTTGCCTTGCGTGCAGCCAGCCTGGCCGAGCCGGGTTCGATTCCTCTGCCCCTCTCAGAGAGCCCGGCAAGCTACTGAGAGTATCTCACCCGCACCCCATGACATTCAGTATGCCAAACACAGTAACAAGAAGTCTCAAAATGGAGACGTTACTGGGCCCACTCGAGCAAAATCGATGAACAACAGGGGGACAGTGTTTGTTTTATGGGCTATTGTTATTTAGAACATTTCAGGTTCTACTTATTTTCTTTGTTATTTCAATAAATGGAGGTTTTTTTTTTTTAAATGAACAAAAAGTGTAGTCTTGGTGCCAGAGAGATAATACAGGGATTAGCACCTACCTTACAAGTGGCTGGCTTTAGTGTAGTCCCTGGCACTACATATGGTTCCTTAGCACAGGGGTGAGACCTGAGCACGGGCCGGGAATAAGCCCTTAACACTGCCAGATAAGACCCCTCAGCCCTGTCCCAGGACACACAGAGAGAGGCTTTTCAGCTCTCTCACTCTTTTTTTTGAGGCTTCAGGGATCAAGTCCAGGATTCCAACATATAAGGCTCTACCACTGAGCTGTATCCCTAACTGTCAAGGCTATTAGTTTGTCTGGTATTTCCTTTTATCCTCATTTACTTAGGGAAAAAAAAATCACTTACTTAGAAGCTATTTCTGTCTTGGAATCCTAAATATGTGTTTTGTTAGCATATAATTGGTTTTGCTTTCTGTCTTTTTTTTTTTTTAAATCTAGTACAGTTGGCTTTTTATAGTGCTAGTGATCACACCAAAGACTTCACTCATGCATGTAGTTTTTCACTGAACCACATCCCTGGCTCATCAAGTCATCTTTAAAGTATACTTTTATAGCTTCTTATGCTGCTATATAGATAATATCTCCAAATCTGTCTTCTAGTTCCCAGATATTCTTTGGGGCTTCTGGTTGCCTGTTTAACCTCTTTGAGGTTTTAAGTTTTAGAAATCTTCCAAAGTGCAAAAGTAAATGTAGTGATAACTTACCTCCCTCTCAGCACCAGGCATCGGGGTTAAGGTTCTCAGTTCTCTGATAGAAAGCACTTGATTTCTGTTACCTGTTTCTGCATTCAGTCTTTTGAACATCATTTGGACAGTACCTTATGCTTCTGCAAGAATGGAATGAAAGTGCTGGGGAGATGGCTGAAAGGACTGGAGTTCATATTTTGCATGCAGGTGTCCTTGGTTTGCATGTTCCACCAAGCATCACTGGGAGCAGTCCCCAGCTCTGGTGGGTATGGCCTCCATATAGAAACAAAATAAAATTGGGTGTAAAAGCAAATAACATCCCCTTCCCTCCCTGCCTTTTTTTTTTTTTTTTTTTTTTTTGGCCATACCTATCAGTGCTCAGGGTTTATTCCTGCCTCTGTGCTCAGGGATCACTGCTGTGGTTCTGGGCATCAAGCCTGAGTTGTTTGTAAGCTCCTTATCTGCTGTACGATCTCCAGCCTGCAAATACCATCTTCGATTTATATGAAAATCATTTTGACTGCAGGTCCCTTGAAGTAATCAAACTCCACCTTGAGAACTCTTCTTCTCAAAGGTGATAAACACTTTTAAGTTTACTTCAGGAGGCTTCAGGGATGGCTGCTTATATTAAACTAAATCTATGAAAATATGGAAAGCTTTGCCTTTTTTTGTTTGTTTCTGAAAGATTGGACTTCTGCTTTCTTTTGAAGGTCTATGAAACAAAAACGTTTATTTTGCATTATATTTTAGAGATGTTCATAGGTGGTAGTAAATTTCTGCATCATTTCAGTCTTTATTTTTGTTGCAAAATTAGGGTGACACATCTTGTGTGTGGGGGCCTTCCCCAAGCAGTGAGTACTCAAGGGACCAGAGGCACCTTCTTGGTAATAACTCAGTTTGGTTGTGTGCTCCACAGCCAGGATAAAGGGTCTTAATATGTCTTGTCTTCACAGTGTCGACTCCATTCTAGAAATATAGTGATAAGCATCTTGGGAATCTGTGCTTCAAGATAAAACAGAAATATAATAGCAAACTGTTTGAATGAGTCTCTAGCTACCAATTTCATGAAATCTTACATGTTTTAGAGTAAGCAAAGAAAATGAAATAATTATAAAGAGAAATCTGAATCTACATACGGAGTTTCTCCAATTTACCTGGCCTCCTGCCCCCATTTTAGAAAAGAAACAATGCTCTGATCTTTAAGCGTACAGTCAGGAAATGTGCCGCGTTGCATCTTGAGGCTGCAGCCCCTCTCCCCCTGCCCACCACCTTTCTCTTACCTTCTCTGCCCCCCACCCTGGGAGTGGGCAGCAGTGTTCATTTTGGAAACACTGGCCTAGCAGGGAACACATGTAATATGTTACATGTAGTAGACAGTCAAGCACACAGAGATGATAGATTCCTGTAATTTATATTGTTTATACATTTTTTGGTCTTCTGGAGCACATTGGCTCTTCAGAGTATTTGGTATTCTGGAGCACATTGGTATTCAGGGCTTACTTCTAACTCTGCTCAGGGATGGTCCTGGTGGTGCTCAGAGAGGACTGTGTGTGTCAGGGATCAAACAGGTTAGCTGAGTGCAAGGCTTGTGCCTTATCTGCTATACGATCTCTCTGCCCCCTATTTATTTCTTTTAAAGAATTCCTTGGTTTTCCTAACGTTATTTCTGATCTCATTTACGTTTCTTCATTTTATAGGAATATGCACTTTCTGGTTGGAACTTGAATAACATGCCTGTCCTGGAACAGTCTGTTCTTGCCCATATTAATGTAGACATCTCTGGTATGAAGGTGCCGTGGCTCTACGTGGGGATGTGTTTCTCTTCTTTTTGCTGGCATATCGAAGATCACTGGAGTTACTCAATCAACTATTTGCACTGGTGTGTACAGTCTTCCTTAATAGATAGTGACTTAGTTATTTGCTTCATTGTAAGATAAATGTGCTCTTTCCACTCAGCTACATTCCCGGTGGTGACGATATTAAAGGTTTAATAATAGGGTGTTCTATTAGGAAGTGTGATTTAAAAATATTTGCCGGGTCTAGGTAGGGCACTGGGCTCAATCCTCAGTACCCAGTGTGGTCCCTCAAGCCCACAAAGGGTAGAGCCAGGAGAAAGCCCTGGGCACTGTGGGGTGTGGCCCCCAAACCTAAATAAATGAAAGTATTTGCTCTACAAAATTTGGGTGAAATTTAAGAAGTGTTAGAAGTTTTAGGGTACGATGTTTTAGATACCTTCCATTTCAAAGAATTTGCAAATGGCAAAACCAGAGTTTAGATCAAATGGAACTTTGTGAAAATTGCTTTGTCTGTCTCTTCTTTTTTTGGGATATTTGAGCCACACCTGGCAGAACTTGGACTGCGGTGGCTCTGTGCTGAGGAGTGATTTTCCCTCCTCATTCATAGGGGGTAGCTGTGGTTCATGGGGGGGTTAGCTCCATGCAGGGCGAGTACCCTACCGCCTGTACTATCTCTTTGACCCCACTTTGTATATCTATTTGTTTTGTTTTGGGGGCTCTACCCTCCAGTGTGTGGGCTTATTCCTGGCTCTGCACTCAGGGTTTACTCCCTAGAGGGCACATGGGATCATACCATGCCGTGCCCGCTGTACTATTATTCAGACACCATTGTTTATCTTTTAAAATTTTTTGGACTTTGTGCGCCATAATTGGCAGTGCTTAGCAGTTACTTCTGACTTAGTGCTCTGGGATTACTTCTGGCAGTGACCGGGGAATTGAACCTGGGCCTTCTCATGCGGAGCCATTTCTCTGGCCCTAAAAATCTTTTGATCCGCAAAGCAGGTCAGATATTTAGTATTTATATAATTTAAAACCTATCCTTTACTGTTCAAAGTTTCAATTTTTTTTCTTTTGAAGAGTATTTTTCCTAAAAGTGACATTGCATGTGTATTCATAAAATTCTTTGTTTTGGATCATATCCGGTGGTGCTCAGGAGCTACTCATGTTGCTGTACTTACGGGTTGCTTTTGCTGGTGCTCAGAGGACCATGTGGTGTTGGGGATCGAACCTGGGCCTCCCAAGTGCAAAATCCCTTGTGGTCCCCTCATATCCCCCTTTTTTTTTCTCCTTTAGTTTTTGCTACGGTTCTCAGATCATGCAAGGCAATTTCTCTACCACTGAACTATATCATTACCCGCCCCCCTTTTTTTTTAACTGACTTTTTGTTTCTTTAACAGAACTTCTGTTTACCACCCAATTCTTTGTCCAGTATTAACGATTGTGACTAATACTTTTCTTTTCTTTTTGGAAGAAACTATACAGATCACACTGTGTAGTGGGAAAAATCTACTGGTTTTTCTCTGTTTAATTTTTGTGCTATGTAACATATTACATGGTAGCTACAAGTGACTAGTTAAAAAGTCTAAGTTGCATTAATCAAATTTCAAATGCTTTACATATTTTTATGTGATTAGGTGCTCTTGTGTTGGCCAGCACAACATAGAACATTTTCATGATGTTAGTAACTTCCATTAGGAAAAACCCTGTACGTTTTATTAGGATTAAGAAATTCAGTTCCCCTGTAAGTAGCATGATAGTATGACTAATTTCCTGGCAGTACAACTTTGTATTTTAAACGAACTTTAGTTTACTAAAGTCAGATTTATTTGTGATGCTGAGTCTTTGGTCCTTAAGATTCGTAGGTAGTACTGTATTCAGGTTTTTGACTGTTTCTGGTGTTGTCTTCCTTGGATAGTAAAACTAAGCTCAGGAGTTACACCAAAGTATCTGGAGAGCATTGACTTGTGTTGATGATTGTGAGAATCATAGTAATGTTTCATTGGATAGTACTTTTCATAAAGTGTCTTCTCGTGGTGTCATAAAGAGATAATGTGCTTTTCTAATAGTGATACCTACACAGTTACCTATCTGTGTTCTCTTGCTATACCTGTTGTTATGAACAGTTGCCCAGATTTAAGGATGATTTCTAGGACTTAAGGTGTGTGGCTATGAAACAAGCAGTTGAAAACTTAAGTAGCTCTGAATGAAGAGACCCCAGCTTCATTGGTGTCATGTTCTACCTGCCTAAACAGTTATTTCTTTTGCCAGGGGGGAGCCAAAGACATGGTATGGAGTGCCGTCTCATGCTGCAGAGCAGCTGGAGGAGGTGATGAGGGAGCTGGCCCCCGAGTTATTTGAATCCCAGCCTGATCTCCTACATCAGTTAGTCACCATTATGAACCCCAATGTGCTAATGGAACATGGTGTACCTGTGAGTCTTCTTTCGTGTGTGTCCCTTCAGTAGTTCATTTATTTATTTATTCTTTATTGAATCACTGTGAGATACAGTTACAAAGCTTTCCTGTTTGAGTTGCAGTCATACAGTGATCGAACTCCCATCCCTCAGTGCAAATTTTCCACCACCAATGTCCCTAGTATCCTCCCCCTTCCAAGCCCTCCCGTGCCTCTGTGGCAGACAGTTTCCCCCATTCTCTTTCTCGACTTTTGGGCATTATGGTTTGCTCGAATTTTCCCACAGCCATTCAAGCCTGCCTGCCAGGGGCAGATGCTAGATAATTTATTTTCCATTGCTTACTGTGAATATCATGAGAGGGCGTGTGGCCGCAAAAGTGGCTGTGTGCTTCTGGAATTCTAAAATTGTAAGTGGTTGGGTCCAGAGACATCTCTGTAGAGAGCTAATCCATTTTGAAATTGATTTGGGAGTCTCTGGATCAAGGCTGTTGATGTGCTGAGGTGGCGCCTGGAGGCAGATCATGGGCGTGACAGCCAGGACCCCAAGCGGGTGGCACTGCTGCCTTGGGACCTGGAGCCTTAGTCCTGGAAGCCGCATACCTGGGTTTTGCTTCTGGAAGCTAGTGACTGCCGGGTTTCATCTGGATTGGGCGGAGAGGGCACACCTGCTCCATCCCCTTAAGCAGTTTTAATATTAAATACTCTTATGCGGCTCGGACAGAGAAGGGACCATTATGACAGGATAATTGAAAATGATCACTGAATAGAACTGAAAGGATGTGAAGTGATTTGCATGATACCCTTTCAGTAACAGTATTGCAAATAACAGTGCAAGAAAGTGCGGGAAGAGAGTGAGAGGGAGGGAGGGGGAAGAGAGAGAGAGTGGAAGAGAGGGAGAGGGAGGGAGGGAGGAAGAGAAAGAAGAAAAAGAGGAAAAGTGTCTTCCATAGAGGCAGGCTGCAGTGGGGAGGGCGGGTAGGAGGGAAACTGGGGATCGGGACTTTGGTGGCAGAAAATGTACGCTGCTGAAGGGATGGGTGTTTTAACACTGTATGACTTAAACCCAGTCATGAACAACGTTACAACTATCTCAATGATTCAGTTTAAATTTTTTAAAAAATATACAGTAAGAGAAAAGAGGGCATAAAGTTTACGATGCTAAAATGTCAGGGCTAAGACAAATGGAGATGCTACTGGCGCCTGCTTGAGCAAATTGATGATTAACGGGATGACGGTGCTACAGTGTTATAATAAAAGGAAAATTAAAAAAGTAACTTTAGCCTTTTGGCTGACGTGATAGCACCAAGCGTAGGCTGCTTGCATCGCACGTGGCCAACCAAGGTTTGATCCCCAGCATCCCATATGGTGTCCTGAGCCAGGAGTAACCCCTGAGTATTCCTGGGTATGGGCCTTCCCCACACTCCTTCCCCCTGTCACCTGCAGAATGGAATTTAACCTTGATTAGATAAGACCACACAAATGCTTTATTTTGTAGCTGGAATTTCTCTTCAAGTGAAATTGGTGTTCGATTACTGATAAAGTTTAAATTTAATGAACTTGAGATTATAATAAAATGTGTATTATTTCTTTGACGAGAAAGTAGATTGAGTAACTGCCGCTTTGTCTTTTAAGAATGAATGTATGTCCTCCCATTATTCATCAATTTGCTTGAGCAGGCACCAGTAACGTCTCACAACAAATTGTGAGACTTGTTGTTACTGTTTTTGGCATATCAAATACGCTACAGGTAGTTTGCCAGGCTTTGCTGTGCGGGCGAGATACTCTCGATAGCTTGCCGGGCTCTCCTAGAGGGTCGAAGGAATCGAACCCAGGTCAGCCTCATGCAAGGCAAACGCCCTACCCGCTGTGCTGTTCGCTGCAGCCCATTAGTTTCAAAAAGCGTCATAAATTGGAAATTCTACCCTTGCCATTATTTATGACTCAATATGAGAATTAAAAGAAAAACTCTCTGTTGATAAAAATTTTATCAAGTTAGGAAACTAGGAGGTCAGCGATAGTGAAATTTTTCCTTCTGGTGTTTTATTGGCTGCTAATTCTTTTCATGAATTAAAATTTATAATCAGTGACTATTTTAAAGGAAGGATTATCTTTAAAATGGTGACTTCTTAAATCCTGTCACTATTTTCTTATATATATAGGTTAGTGTTTCGTTGCTTTTGGTTTTTAAAAAAATGCTTCTGATAAAATCTTGTCTCCCTTTTTTGTTTTGTTTTTTATTCCTGTTTTCAATTTTCATTTAGGTGTACAGGACCAATCAGTGTGCTGGCGAGTTTGTTGTGACGTTTCCTCGTGCCTATCACTCTGGATTTAATCAGGGTTACAACTTTGCTGAAGCTGTGAACTTCTGTACTGCTGACTGGGTCTGTTCTATAGCAAGTAGCTGTTGTACGTCTACTAACACCCTTGGAAAATGCATTCTGGTGGCATTGCCATATTTGTATAACCTCGGAGGGTAGGAGTCATGAATATTTCAGTGGGGACTGGATTGGCCGTTGTAGTTACAACTTATACCTAGTCATTGTTTTGATTATTTTATTTGAATTTTCAAATGGGCAATTGGTATTTTCTGAATCATTTTTAGAAAATGTGATTCCTTCTGTCCATTGCTGTAAGTACTCTTGAATTTTATAAAGATCTGATTTTTTTTTTTGTTTGTTTTTTGGGTCACACCCTCCGATGCACAGAGGTTACTCCTGGCTCATGCACTCAGGAATTACTCCTAGCGGTGCTCGGGGGACCATCTGGGATGCTGGGAATTGAACCTGGGTCACTGCATGCAAGGCAAATGCCCTCCCCGCTGTGCTATCGCTCCAGCCCCAGGATCTGATTTTTTCAAGGTTTTTTTGGTTGTTGTTCATTCAATCAGCTGGCTAGCTCTGAGTTTTAGTTTATTTTAATTATTTTTGAGTACCAGGGATTGACCCTTGGATCTTATATATATCCCACGCAAAGCGTGTACTGTACTACTGAGCCAGATGCACAGCCCCTGTAATTTCTGGCTCTGTGGTTGCAGGATTGCTCCTGGTGGTGCTTGGGAGATTGGTTGGTACTGGGACTTGAACCCAGGCCTCCTGCATACAAAGGATGTCTTTATTTATTTTTTGGTTTTGGGGCCACACCTGATAACATTCAGGGTTTACTCCTCGCTCTGCACTCAGGAATTACTCCTGGTGGTGCTCAGGGGATCATATGGGATGCCAGGGATTAAACTTGAGTCAAGCATGTGCATGGCAGGTGCCCTGTCTGCTGTACTGATAAAGCATATCTTTAGCATATGCCCATGCACGGTCTCTATCTTGCTCCTGTGATCATTTGTTTTGTTTTGTTTTGTTTTTGGATCATATCATGTAATATTCAGGTATTATCCTGGTTTTCTACTTTGGTATTACTCATTGAACTGGGCTTCCTACGTGTCTATATGCAAACAGTGCATGTACTCTGGCCCAGCCCATTGAGCTATTTCTTCAGCCCCTTGTGATTTTTATTTTAAATACCCCTTTGTTATTTTCCTTTCGTGAACAATTAGGTGATGTTGTTTTTCCTGCCATTTTCTTTTCTTTTTCTTTTTTTGGGGGCAGGAGATGAGTAGGCACCACATCTGTCTTAGGTTCAGGCTCTGCCCTCAGGCATCACTTGTGGTGGTACTGTGGGGACCATATGGGGTGCCAGGGATTGGACCCAGGTCCTCATGTGCAAGGCAAGCGTCTTACCCACTGTACCATCTCCCTTTCCTCTCTACCATTTTATATATTTTATATTCCCCCTTGAAAATACTTCTGCAGCTGAAGAGAGTGTACAATGGGCAGAGTGCTTGATTTGTACAAATTCACAGAGGTTTGATCCCCAGTATCCGATATGACCCCTGAGCACTGCCAGGAGTGATGCCCTGAGCACTGAGCCAAGAGTATGCCTTGAGAGCCACTGGGTAGCACTGCAGCACTGTCCTCCCGTTGTTCATCGATTTGCTCAAGTGGGCACCAGTAATGTCTCCATTGTGAGACTTGTTACCGTTTTTGGCACGTCAAATACGTCACGGGGAGCTTGCCAGCTTTACTGTGCGGATGGGATACTCTCGGTAGCAGTTCTTGCTTTGAAGAGTAACTGTAATGTTTTTGTCTTGTTTTGGGCCACACTTAGCAGTGCTTTAGGGCTATTCCCAATGTGGGTGCTCAGGGGACACTGTCCTGTGGTGCTGGGACTCACACGTGGGACTCCTACATCCAGAAATGTGCTCCAGACCTTTGAATTATTTCACTGGCCCTGTATTAACTGTTACTGTTTATTCTTATTTTCAGTCAATGCTGCATAAGCTAGTGCTTTTCTTGATACCCCCTTTCTCCTTGTTGCCCTCTCTGCCACTTTGTTTTCTTTTGTGGAAATCTGAATACTGAGTATGTCCACTTAATCATTTGTAGACTAAGAATATTTTCTTTATTTTTTGGGGGAGGGAGGTGGTACAGAATTCTCTGCCAGTGCTCGGGACTTCTGGTTCTACGCCTGAACATCAGTCAGATGTGATCATGTGGTGCTGGACATTGCAATCTCTTGTACCTCCCACATGCAAAAAGCATGCGGTCAGCCTGTTAAGCTATCTCCCTGGCCCTGTGAGTTTTTTCTTTTCCCTGAAAGGGCAGTTTTATGTTAAACAAGTCTAAAGAGTCTGTATGGCATGTAATGAATGAATAGCAAATCAGCAGTTCCAGCAAATAAGGGAATTTTCCATGGGAAGATTTTGACAGTTCCTGCTGTTATGGAAAGGTTGATGCATACGGTACCTTTTTCTGTCCTAATGGGGTGTGTGATTTTGTCTTCCTTGATTCCTATAGTAAAAGCAAGAATCCGAGGGTAAATAATAGATCTGCTCTGAAATACAGCATAAGCAAGTATTTCAAGTTGAGAATCTTTCCGTGTTTTTCAGTTACCCATTGGACGTCAGTGTGTTAATCATTACCGACGGCTAAGACGCCACTGTGTCTTTTCACATGAGGAACTCATTTTCAAGATGGCAGCAGATCCAGAATGCTTAGATGTTGGACTGGCTGCCATGGTCTGCAAAGAATTGACTCTCATGACTGAAGAAGAGACACGGTTAAGAGAGTCTGTTGTACAAATGGTGAGTTTAGCTGAGTATATTCCCTTTACTTGACGCTTGAGGAATAGATGAAAACTGGCCTTTTGAAAGAATTTTTTTCCCTGGGGGCTAGGGGGTGATGTTGGATTGTACCCTGAGTCTGCTCCTGGTGTTATGCTTAAGGTTCACTCCTGGCACTTCTCAAGGGATTGTACACAGTACTGGGGACCAAACTGGGATTGACTATACACAAGACAAGCGCCTTAACCCCTTTGTATATTCTCTGGCCCCTCATTTTTCTATCTTTAGAAGTTTTACACAAAAATACTAATGGAGGCAGTTGATTGACCACTGAGCCATCCATGGTTAGCTATCCATCCTGTTAATTTCACTTCCGCAGCCATCCATCCAGCTAATTTTACTTCCTGTGGAAAGTCATATGACCCTAATAGTGAATCTTACTTTACACCTGTAACCCTGAAAGTCTTGACTAAAATTTTTTAGTTCACCTTTTAGCCTGACCGCTAGATCACGTGGGAGACAACTGGAGCAGTAGCACAGTGGGTAGGGCGTTTGCCTTGCAGACCTGGGTTCGAGTCCTCCGTCCCTCTCGGATAGCCCGGCAGGCTACCAAGAGTATTCGCCCGCATGGCAGAGCCTGCAAGCTCCCTGTGGCGTATTCGATATGCCAGAAACAGTAACAAATCTCACAATAGAGACGTTATTGGTGCCTGCTCGAGCAAATTGATGAACAACGGGAGGACAGTGCTACCTTTTAGCCTAAGTAGATTTTATTTTGACCTCCTGATTGCAGTTTTCATTCTCCTGTCAAAAGTGGCCATTTTGAACTTTGTAATTATTAAATTTCGCATTTTAAAAAGTCTTATTAGTCACATATGCATTCTTAGGTCCAGATGTTTAGTTTTGCACATTTAAAACAAGTTGCTAATCATTATTTCCAGAAAGTGTTTCGACAGCAGTTAGGGCACTTGTCTTCGATCCCTAGCACCCCTCATGGTCCCTCCAGCCTTTCAGGAGAGACCCCGAGGGCAGAACCAGAAGTAAGGCCTGTGCATTTCTGGCTCTGGCCCCCCACCCCCCAAAACAAAAGAATGTACTGTATAAATTTTTTGTAATTAAATTAAAAAATTTATAAAGCAGTCCACAATATTTTATTATATTTAATATTCGAACACCGATCCCACCACCATAAATTGGGATGTTTTCATCCTGAGCCCCAATCCGTGCCCCAAAGCAAAACTGAAGTAATTCATTTTGTTTTGTTTGTTATGAATAAACCACTAACCGTGATCCAAAAAAGTTTCCTTAAAGGAAAGTGTGTGAAGACTGTTGGATTTCAGCCAAGGCCCATTGAGCCCTACTATAAGAGATTGCTAACATGTGGTTGAAGGTTGAGGCTGTGTGCTTACATATCTATTATATATCTGTAAAAATATATTTCCCTCTAAGATTGCTTGTCTTGTGCTTTGAACCCCACTAAATATGGTGTACTACTCTTGGAATATTAGTGGTGTGAGGTATGATACGTCCTGGAGCTGCATTTGGTCCAGGAGAAAGTTCACTCATGGGTGAAGCTCAGCCCGAGTGTCTGGAGAGCGGCCGTGAGCATGGCAGAGGTTAAGTTTTGGAGGTTTTTGGCTGCCAGGGCTGTGTCCCTGGGAGAGGGACCTTGCCCATCCCCCTCCAGGGTGCCCCAAGTGAAACAGCTTGGCGTGGGGTCCGGAGGCATGACTCCGGCGTATGTCCTTTTATGCTCTCTTCCCAGAGAGAAGGGCAATGAGTCCGATGCTATACTATTTTAACTCCCACATTTATGTCGTAAGTCGGAGCAAAAAGGTTAATGACAAGTTCTTTGATGCTTCACAAACTAGAAAGAATAATTTTATTTCAGGGTGTCCTGATGTCAGAAGAAGAAGTATTTGAACTTGTTCCTGACGATGAACGACAGTGTTCAGCATGCAGAACCACATGCTTTCTCTCTGCTCTCACATGCTCCTGTAATCCTGAGCGACTTGTTTGTCTCTACCATCCAACGGATCTGTGCCCCTGCCCCATGCAGAAGAAATGTCTTAGGTATCCAGAAGTTTCTTAAAATATCCCGTTACCGCATTTTAAAACCAAGCGTTAATATTCTTTCTAATTCTGAATCTGGTAGTTTCATAGCTTATGTATCTTTTCTCTCCTGGGGGACCAGTCCTTTAGTACTGGGCCTAAATTTGACAACTAAACTTAAATTTTTATTATTTTATTTTATTTTTTGCTTTTTGGGTCACAACCAGCGATGCACAGGGGGGTTACTCCTGGCTTATGCACTCAGTAATTACTCCTGGTGGTGCTCGGGGGACCATATGGGATGCTGGGAATCAGACCTGGGTCGGCCACGTGCAAGGCAAACGCCCTACCCATTGTGCTATCGCTCTAGCCCCTATTAGTTTATTTTGATGTATCTGATTCTTCTCTATCAAAACTCTGTGGGTTTATTTGATCTTTATTTGACCAAGTATCCCATTGTCTTGGCCATTGTACTTCCCTAAAAATAATTGTGTTACATACATACTTTGGTGTGGGGCAATTGAAGTTTGATTTCAGGACATCACACATATGAAGTGTGTGCTTTATTACTAAGCTGCATCCCAGCCCCCTTAAAATTTTAACTTATTTTCAAGTTGCTGTTGGTCTTTTGAAATTTTCATTGCTATGTATTTGTGGGATTTTTGTTTGTTTGTTTTTTAAGATACCGCTACCCGTTAGAAGATCTTCCTTCTCTGTTATATGGTGTGAAAGTCAGGGCACAGTCCTACGACACTTGGGTCAGTCGTGTTACAGAAGCGTTGTCTGCCAACTTCAGCCACAAGAAAGGTTAAGTTCTCTCCTTTTGTGTGCATTCTCTGAAATTATTACCACTTTTAAAAGCAGTCTTGTTCTCTGTTTTGCCTCCATTAAGAAAATACTAGAATTCATATGAAATTTGAGGTTAATGGTCTGACAGTAGACATAATTTTCTATTTGTGAATCTTTCTAAATGAAAAAGTTGATACAAGGGCCGGAGAGATAGTATAATGGTAGGGCGATTCCCTTGCATGCCACCCATGGGTTCGATCCCTGTCACTCCATAGGGTTTCCCGAGCCTGCCAGGAGTGATAATTGAATGCAGAGCACCAGTAAGCACTGAGCCCAGGTGGGTGTGTGCCCCCACACCCAAAAAGAAAAGTTCATTAAAATTTGATATAAAATGGAACATATAGCTAACTGGCATAGATATATTACATATTGGGAAGCCATTTATTACTAGTGCACTAACATTAAAGTATGTTTTTTTGGTTTGTGTTTTTGTTTTGGGATAACACCTGGTGGTGCTCAGGACTTAACTCCTGGCTCTGTGGCAGATATCATATAGGATGATAGCGGTGCGACTCTGGGGGCCATGTGGAGTACCAGGATGGAAACCACATTGGCTGTCTGCAAGGCAAGCACCCTGTCTGCTGTGCTCTCTCTAACCTCTAATATTAGCCTTAATGACAAAGAAATTCCTTTACATGAGAGAAATTATATGAGTTCTGATCAACTGGTAATCTATTATTGCATTGCTAAGATTTTTACAGCTGTGGTATATTTATGTCAGTAGGTTGATGATTCACTTGAGAGAGATTGGTAAATATTTTTAAATGGCCTTTTCACAGACTTGATTGAATTACGGGTAATGCTGGAAGATGCTGAGGACAGGAAATACCCAGAAAACGATCTGTTTCGGAAACTTAGGGATGCTGTTAAAGAAGCTGAGACCTGTGCTTCTGTGGCTCAACTGCTTTTGAGCAAAAAGCAGAAACACAGGTAAGACTCAGGACAGTTGAAGTTCGCAGGGATTTCCTCTGTTTTTTAAGAGTAAGACTCAGAAATTAAACTGACCGTGAAATTGACATGATCTTGAATCTCTTATGCTCTTGCCTGTCCCTCCACCAATGATGCCCTAGTTTTACTTATACTTCTTGCCACTCTCGCCCTCTTGCTCCACTCTGCAAACCACCTTCCCTTGCTGTTCTTTATGTACTCTAGGTGTATTCTTAGAACCTTCATGCTTGCTCTTCCTTCTGCCTGGGGTTCTCTTCCCCTAGTAACCAGGTAATTTCTTTCCTGACATTTCCCAGATATCTCACTCTTGGAGGTGCCTCTTTGACAATTCTTTATAATACCGCTTTGTTGTTGTCCTTACCCTGTAAACACCTGTTACACTAAAATGACTATTTTTTCTTTCCTCCCTGACATCATTAGAATGTATGCTATAATAACGATATTGGGAGGTGTTATTTTGTTTTCTGTATTTCTTGTTTAAAAATACCTAGCCTATCATGGGTATAAAATTAATATTTTAAAATAAACAAATGATATACATAAAGGTAGGTGGTGGCAGAGTAATTTTCAGTAAGATTAAACTTAAGACCTCTTGTGTCGTCACGAACATGAGGCGTGTGTTCTACTGCTGACCTGTAACTTCATTGACCTAGACCCCTTTTCTTAGGAAAGTAGATATGCACAAATCCAATTTTAAGGGTGAGTTGACACTTGTACCAGAGTAGTGATGTTTCCCACATCTTCCTTTGTATTCCCTGCCCTTCAGTTCATTGTTGTTTTTGTTGTGTTGACCAGGGGCTGCACGTATGCCTGTCTGTGGTCCTCGCTGGAGGTTACTTCTCAGGTTACTGTGCTTCCACTACACGCTGCTCACTATTACAAGCCTTTAGTGTGGTGCTCACCTATGTGCTTGCCAGGGGTTGCACTTCTGCTGATGGCGCTCACCATTTCTTTGTGGTGCCCACAGGGATCACGCCCCGTTCTGTGGTCGTCACACACAACTGACTGGTACAGTTGGAGCGTGATTACAATGTCAGCAATTGCAGACAGCAAAGCTGACAGGATTGTGCAGAGAGCATGTGGGACATGAGGTATTTGAACTTGACCGCCTGCTTAAAAGGCAGGAGCAGGAGCAGTAAGCCACTGCATTGTGCCTTCAAGGCCTTGTTCCACATCTTAAGCTTCTTGAGACACGGGGCTTAATTTTATCAGTGATGTTACTACTTTAATGGAGGAATTTACTGAATGCTTGAAATTGTTAGTACTTGTAAAAGGAAGATCTATGAGTTGGAGAGTTGAATCTTCAGGTAACTGAAAGTTAAGATTCTTTTTTTTTTTTAAATTTTTATTAGTGAAACACCATGAGGTACAGTTGTAGACTTACAAATTTTTTGCTTGGGAGTTAAAATTCTTTGGAAGTGATCATCATTGCATTAGGTGTCTCCTAAACACTATTATTCAAATACCAGTCCATGGACCAATGCTAGTCCGCAGGTATGCAAAGGCCGAAAACCAGCTGTCTTCCAATTTGCTCAGAACTGCCAGTTCGTAGGCTGCCAACCAGGCAGGTGCTGATCAGCAGGTATAGATGATTCAGAAATGTTGAATCAAAAGAAGCCTCTTTCCTATCAGACGGGCTTAGAATTTTTCTTACGCTTCAATATTATTTCACATCAGGCAGAGCCCAGAGAGTGGGAGGACTCGGACCAAACTCACGGTGGAAGAACTGAAGGCCTTTGTTCAGCAGCTTTTTAGTCTGCCATGTGTCATCAGCCAAGCTCGACAAGTAAAGGTAAAGTATTGCTTTCCTTTCTCGGATAATATCCTGTGTAGAATCGGCTGCTGTGATGAGAATATTGCATCTACACTGCTTTAGTTGTTGCGGTTGTTTGATTTTTAATTTGTTTTCATGTTTGCTGCTATTTTTTGCAGCGGTAGGATGGTGGTGGGTTTGGGCCACGCCAGACACTGGCTCATTCCTGCTCTGTGATCAGAGATAACTCCTGGAGGGTCTTGGGGGACCGTGCAGAGTATTGGGAATTGAACCCAGGTCAGATGACTGCAAGGCAAGCTCTATACCTGGTATACTGTTGCTCCAGCTTCAAGATGAGTTTTTGTTTTTCATTTTTGGGCCATACTTGGTGTTGCTCAGGGCGCACTCCTGGCTCCGCACTCAGGGAATGATCACTCTGCTCCTGGGCAGTCAGAATCTTTGGGTTTCATTCTTAGTCTCTTTTCCCTTTTTAAAATTCTGACAGTATAACTAGTTGAGAATTTTAAGTATATAAATTGTAGACCTGGTCTCTCTTTCCGTTTGATACAGATACAAGAAATGATTTAAAAAAAATTGGTTCAGGGCTGGAGCGATAGCACAGCAGGTAGGGCGTTTGCCTTGCACGTGGCCAACCTGGGTTCGATCCCCGGCATCCCATATGGTCCCCCAAGCACCGCTAGGAGTAATTCCTGACTGCAGAACCAGGAATAACTCCTGAGCAAGGCTGGGTGTGACCCAAAAAGCAAAAAAAAAAAAAAAAAAATGGTTCATAAGCTTAAAATGGAAGTTACCAGATCTTTAGTTTTTCTGTTGATTATGTAAAGCCTTGAAAATGTATATTAAAATTTGTACAGTTAATCATATTTTTGTAATTTGCATCATATTTGGTAATAGGTAGAATATAAAAATTTATTTCTATAAAGGTTATAAACTTGTTTACTCTTCTGTCAGTTGTCTTAATGTATTTCATTAGAGTATTTTAATACCATTCATTTGCTATTGAAAAACTTTCTAAATATCTGTGACTCCACATACAACTGGTTTTCTTAGCTCATTCACAATTACTCTCAGTGATCTTTTCTGCTTTGTTTTCTTCTTAGTTTGACCGCTAAATGTCAGACTATTTTATGTCTTGGCCTTTTTTTCCTCTAAAATCCCTGCTATGTTATTTCTCCAGTGACAGTAAATATCACCTGTATCTTGTTGATTCCTAAATTTTCCAAGTGTTTTTTTTTTTTTTCATTTATGCAGCATGCCTATCCAAGTTGCATTCATCACATTTTATTTTTCACAGATTAAAAGGCTACCTCCCCATTCTTTTTGAGGTGCCAGGAGTCAAAATCAGAGCCTTAGGCAAGCAAGGCATTGGGTATACCATGGAGCCACATTTTAAGGCCTTCCCCTCCTCCCCCCCCCCCCCCCCCCCACACACACACACACACACACACCTGGCTGTGCTCCGGGTTTACTTCTGGCTCTGTGCTCAGTGATCACTCCTAGTGGGCTTGGGAGACATAGGGTTCTGGGAATTGAACCTTGAACCATTTGCATGCCAGTCAAGTGCCCTACCTGTTGTACTATTGCTCCAGCCCCCAATTAAAGTTTTTTAATGAAAGTCAAAGAGAGAGCTCAATGTACTGATCGTGGGCTGATTCTTGAGAGCCTATAGTTTCCCACATAGTGCCCGGAGCATTCAGGACCACAAAGCTGGGGTTAGCCTCAGAGCACACCAAGTATGCCCACCCTGCCCCGCCCACCTCCTCTTAACCCCACAAACAAAAACAATATTTTTAAAAAATCTAAATTCTTGATTCCTTTATTTTTTTTATATACCATCTTAATTAACAAGTGCTTTCATCTCCCAGAAATATCCCAGAGTGAATTGTTTGTCATCATCTCCATTGTTCAAAATGTTCGAACCCAACTTTTCTCAATTCGGGGACCATAGGGCTCTCTCTGTGACCAAGGTGAAAATAATGGCAGCCTTAGGCATAAGACTAGGAGGCCACAGGAAGGAAACAAGGTTGGAACCAGGTGCCTCAGAAAAGATTGAGAAGCACTGCTCTAGGATCTGTTCTTCAGATGACTTCAGTAACCTTTTTTTGGTTTGTTTTGTTTTTGGGCTACACCAGGTAGTACTCAGGCTTACGCTTGCCTCTGCACTCAGTGATCATTTTTGGCAGATGCTTTGGAGGACCATATAGGGTGCTGGGGATCAAACCTGCGTCGTTCATGTGCAAGGACTGTCACTTCTGCTCCAATACCCTCTTCATTGATCGCTCTTCTCTTGTCCTTGACAGTTTTACTTTTTATTTAGTATCAGGTTGTAGAACGGTTTTATAAAATATAAATCAAATTTCAGTTCCCTCTAATTAAAATTTAGTGGGCCTCCAGATCCATTACATTGAAATCCGAACTCATTATACTCAACAAGGTACCATGTTATCTGACTTGAGCTAGTCTTTATATTCCCTTTTCAACTGTGCTCATCTTGTCATTTAGAAACTGAACACCAAGCTTATTGCTCTTCGAAAGCTTTTGCAGTTATTTGCTCTAACTGAATTGGTCTTCTGTCGGATCTTCATATGGTTCCCATCTCTACCTCATTGTAATTTTGATTCTTCTAAGATTGCCATTGCAAAGTTATATGCCCACTTATGCCTTCTGGCCTTTATTATGTTGCCCTATTTTATGTTCATGGCACAATAAACATTTATGTATTCATTGTCTGGAATTGCCTGTTAGAAAAATAAGTTCCTTTGAGACAAGATCTTTGCATGTTTAGTTTAACGCTTTGGAGTCATTCTTACATCTAAGTCAGTAGTCATTAGTCCTTTTATGTCTTTTTGTTGTTGTCTTTTGTTTTGGGTTGTTGTTGGGCCTGGCTATGTTCAGGGCGTACTTGTGGCTCTGTGCTCGGGGATCATTCCTGGTATTGCTTAGAGGATTATATGTGGTGCTGTAGATCAAACTTGGGTCAGCTGTATGCACAGCACTGTTATCCACTCTGTTTCTCTGACTCTAGTCATTGACTGTTTTTTAATCGCATTATTTTAAAATTAGGATTGTAAATGATTACAAAGAAGCATCTGTATGCATTTAGCTATCGTACCTATTAGGTGCTATATGGTGAAATTATCTAGAATTTAATAATTGCCTCAACTGTGACTATTCCATATTCATTTTATATCTTTTAAACTTGTTTTTTTTGTTTATTTTTAAAATATTTTTTATTTTGACCTTTTCAGAATCTGCTGGATGATGTGGAAGAATTTCATGAACGAGCTCAAGAGGCCATGATGGATGAAACCCCAGATTCTTCCAAGCTCCAGTTGTTGATAGATATGGGGTCTAGTCTCTATGTTGAGTTACCCGAATTAGCTCGACTAAAGCAAGAACTACAACAAGCTCGATGGTTGGATGAAGTTCGACTGACCTTGTCAGATCCACAGCAAGTCACTTTGGATGTTATGAAGAAACTGATAGACTCTGGGGTGGGACTAGCACCCCATCATGCTGTGGAGAAAGCAATGGCTGAACTGCAGGAGCTCCTTACGGTCTCGGAACGATGGGAGGAGAAGGCTAAGGTCTGCCTGCAGGCCAGGTGAACGCATACTCGTGGCATTACCTCTGTTAATTCAGACAGTAGAATTAGAGGAGGAACATACAGTGGGTCGGTGAGATAGCTCAACAGAGTGCGTGCTGTGCCAGGGACTGACCCCAAGCAGGAGGCATGTCCCCTGAGCACTTCTGGAGTGTTGAGCACATTGGGTATGGCCTCTTCCCCCAAAACAAAGAGATTTGTGTTTTCTGACCAGTCACCAATATTCCTATATAGATTTTATATTTATTTTATATATTTATATTTTACGCATATAAAATATGTTTTATATTTTATTTACATCTTTTTAGGTTTTTATGTAGAGAGTTTCAGGTGTAGTCTGCACAGCAAATGCAGAGTACTTTAAATGACACAAAGTAGTATCTTTTCTTTAGAGCCTTCCTGTAAAGACCTGAGAAATATAAAGCTTATTGCAGTACATTACTGTTAACCACTGTATGAAAATCTGCTATGAATTAAAGATTTAGGTTAAGAAAGCATTAAGTTTAATGGTTTTTTTATTTTGGCTTTTTGGGTCACACCCGGTGATGCACAGGGGTTACTCCTGGCTCTGCACTCAGGAATTACTCCTGGCGGTAGCTCAGGGGACCATATAGGATGCTGGGAATCGCACCCAGGTCAGCCGCGTGCAAGGCAAATGCCCTACCTGCTATGCTATTGCTCCAGTCCCCAAGAGAGCATTAAATTTAATGGTTAGAAGCAAGGCTTGTGGAAGAAGAAAGAATTAGGTAGAATCTTGAAAAATGAGTATGATTGGGTCTGGAGAGATAGTACAGAAGGTAAGGTGCTAGCTTTGCACTCAGCTGCTTGGGTTTAATCTCTGGCAACCCATATGTTTCCTTGAGCCCTGCAGGAGTGATCCCTGAGTACAGAGCCAGGAGTTAGCCCTGGGCACCGCCAGATGTGGCATGGAAACAAAATCATGTTAGACAGATATCTGTTAGCATTGACACCCCATTGATTTAGTAAAGCATCGTGTTTGACTGTCAACTAATTTGACTAGTGTTCTTTGTGAAAATATTTTTTTAAATATTTAAAAAATATTTAAGTTTAGAAGAATTTCTGTTGTGGGATTGAAGAAAACTGGGTTGCTTAAAAGAGATCACATAACTAAGTAGCACAGCCTAGATATAAAGCCTTTTCCATTTTGCTCCAAATACGTCTATTCCCTTACACTCAAACTACCCAGTCATGCTCATTATATTTTTTTGGTAAAATTTATGTCTGCTAAGACTTAGTGTGATTGCATCTTTCTTTACTGCCACATTTTACTCCCCCCCCCCTTGATTTTCAATCACTCACCCATGTTGACTGTACACTAACTTATTTTTATATTTTGAAGACTTAATTTTACGATGGGCTGTAGTGATAGCACAGTGGTTGGGCGTTTGCCTTGCACGCGGCTGGCCCAACCAAGCCGTGTTCGATTTCTCCACCACTCTCGGAGATCCCGGCAAGCTACCCAGAGTATCTCGCCCGCATGGCAAAGCCTGGCAAGCTACCCGTGACGTATTCAATATGCCAAACACAGTAACAACAAGTCTCAAAATGGAGACGTTATTGGGTCCGCTCGAGAAAATGGAACAATGGGAGGACAGTGCTAATTTTACTATTATTATTGGTTGGGTATGTGGTTTTGGAGCCACAGCTGTTGTCCTGTGAAAATTTCATGCCTATCTAGGAAACAGTTGTTGCTGATTTACTGATGGTGTTTTTCAGGCTGATGCCTAACTGCAGGTGTAAACAGACTTAAACACTTGATTTTGGTAGTTTGACTTTTTCCCATTTATTTACCCTTCTTTTATGTTCTTTTAGGCCACGACACAGCATGGCAAGTTTAGAAAGCATTGTAAATGAAGCCAAGAACATCCCAGCCTTTCTACCCAATGTGTTGTCTCTTAAAGAAGCCTTACAAAAGGCCCGAGAATGGACAGCTAAAGTGGAAGCTATTCAGGTAAAGAGACTTGAATTATTCTTTCTGATAACACTGTCTTAGGATAGAAAGCATGAAAAAATAATGTTTAGAGGGTCAGAGCTTTAGTACAGTGGGTAGGATGTTTGCACGTGGCTGACCAAGGTTCAGTTCCCGTCATCCGCTATGATCCCTTGAGCACCTCCAGGGGCGATTCCTGAGTGCAGAGCCAGGAGTAACCCCTGAGCATTGCCGAGTGTGACCCAAAAAGAAAATGAAATGTCTAAGGATCTGAGCAATAGTAAGGTGCGTAGGGCATTTACACGCGCTGACCAGGCCTCAATTCCCAGAACCCCAAATGGTCTCCCAAACTCGTCAGGAGTATGATCTCTGAGTGCAGAGCCAGTCGTAAGCCCTGAACACTGCTGGTGTGTCTCCCCAGACCCGAAAATACTAATGTTTAAAGTAACTTTTTCTGGGCTGGAGCGATAGTTTAGTGGGGAGGGCACTTATGTTACACTTAGCTGACTCAGGTTCAATTCATGGCATCCCATATGGTCCCCCAAGCACTGCAAGGAGTGATTCTGAGTGCAGAGCCAGGAGTAACCCCTGTGCATTGCCAGGTGTGGCCCAAACGTCCCCACCCAAAAAATTAAATAAAAATTGTTTTCTGATTATATGTTTTAAAATAAATACCACCTATTAAACATTGTCCTCCCCCTCCCCCCTTTTAACTGCTGTGGAAAATGACAAAAGTAGATGCTCAGCTCTAATATTAGGTAGCAAGTGACTCTTCATGTATTCCTTGATTTTTTTTTTTTTCACCATATGCATCAATTACTTACTTGGTGGAGGCCACACTCAGCAATGCTCAAAGCTTATTCCTGACTCTGCACTCAGGATCACGTATAGCAGGACTCGGGATTATATGGTGTGCCAGTTAGTGAACCTGAGTTGGCCGCATTCATGGCAAGTTCCTTATCTACTAGACTGTCTCTGACCTCCTGTTAGTAACTTTTTTCCTTCTTCATCTTTTTTTGTTTTTTGGCCACATTGGATGGTACTCAGGATTTACTCCTAGCTCTGTGCTCAGGAATCACTCCTTGCAGGACTGGGGGACCATATGTGATGCTGGGAAATGAATTCAGCTCAACACATATTTGATCTGCTGTACTTCTCTCTCTCTGGGTTGCCTGTATTACTTTTAAAGTGATGAAACTTTTAAAAACTGTATTACTTTTAAAGTGATGAAACCCAGTGTCTCTCTGGGTTGCCTGGGTATATGGCTTAGGGGCTTAAAGTAACCTGCTTTGCAAGTATATGGTCATGAATTCAAACCCCGAGTATCCCTCATGCACTAAGTATGATTCCGTGGTGCTTCTGTTTTTGAGTCTGATGGCTCTGCTCTCTAAACTCTGATGCTGCAAGCAATTTCCAGCTGGCCTGGGTGCGGAAGCACTACAAAAGTGGGGGTGACCCTTAGGTAAGCAACAAAACTAAAATGATATTTGAGTTCCGTAACCATGGACTGTGACTTCTGGCAAAAATGTGTTTCTAAGTACTGCAATGACTCCCAGCAAGTATTACCATCAAGCACCACAGTTAGTACAGACCTCAGCGAGCATTCCCAGATTGTTTGCAAGCACCACACCTGGTGTGTGGCTTAGACAGCTAGAAATTTGCAAGTGCCACACCAGGAGCATTTGCAACTTCCTGTCATCTTTATAGTCTGTCAGCTAAGACATAGGGAAACCAAAGGTGTGGGGAATAACAGGGATAAATGAAATAGAAAGAGGGTAAATGAAATTGAACTGGTATAAAATTATTGTTTTCTGAATACCCCAGTACTCAAAGTTGTCTGCCAGCAGAAGTGTAAAGAGAGAACTTTGGGAAACCGAGTAATAGTAAAGCAGGTAGGGTCTTGCATTTAGCTGACCCATATTCAATCCCTGGCACCCCATAAATGATCCTCCAAGCCTGCTAGGAGTAATCCCTGAGTGCGGAGCCAGGAATAAGCCCTGCACACTGCTGGGTGTGGCCCAAAAACCAAAAAGAAGAAAGAACTTCTTTGGTAATTGAAAACAATGAAATAAGTTCCGGAAATGAGCATCTGCTTGAGAGGCTGGAGAGATGATGCAGTGGGAAGGGTGCTTGCCTTGCATGTGGCTGTCCCAGGTTTGATGCCCTGTGTCCCTTTACATCCTCCCAAGCCCTTCAGGAGTGATTACTGAATGCAGAGCCAGAAGTAACCCCTGAGCACCACTGGGTGTGGCCCAGAAACAGAAAATCAAGTCTGCTTGAATATGTATCCTATAGCTATAAAAACCATTATTCCACACGACACTTAGTAGTACTGTTTATAAAAATACTCATTTGTTGCAACTCTGTTAAAGTAATTTTCTTCAGCTAATCCTGGGCTGGGGAACCAATTTTCTGCCAAGGGCCATTTGGATATTTAAAACAGCATTTGGGGGCCATGCAGTCAATACAAGCAGACAGGCCATGGGCCACCAGCAAGGTTTTTGTCCCTTTTTATACCAGAGCCAGACTACATGACTTTGCGGGCTTTCAGTGACTCCTAGACTGGACGCTCCCCACCCCTGTGCTAAACAGTTTAGCCTACCTAAAGAAGAGCGTATCTGTTTCAGGTTCTAATGACTTCTCTTAGGAATCTTCTCAGCTGACTTTCTGGGAACTGCATAGTTACTCCTGTTTTTGTTGTTGTGTTTTTTGGTTCTGTTAATTTTTTAAGTAGCCTGGTTTCATTAGACAGCTCCTTGGGTTTAATTTTGACATGTTTTTGGTAGCTGGTTTTCCTCAAATACCTGACAAATCCTCAGCTGATTCAGTTTATAATTGAAAGACAGTCACAGGTACAGGTAGGTGTTATCCTGTGTTTCCTGAATAATTTTGAGGAACTTCTTCACCACACACCACACCCTTCTCTTCAGTGGAAAGATTAAATTTGTTGGCTGTAAACAAGTGGACAGCTTCTGTTGACAGACAGAATACAAAGGATACAAAGCTTGGGTACAGGCTCTGTCCATGTGTAATTAGAGGGTGTTTTGTAATCAAATAACTGTAGTTGGTAATGCAAAAGAGTAGTAGTACATAACTCATTTCTTGACTCTTTTTTTTGAACTTTCTTTTCTAGTTAGTAGTCTGTTTTTTTCTCCAAACCTTAGTGATTTAATGTATCACTATGAGAATCTCTTACGATTGAAACCTTTTCATTATTTAAGCATTTTGCTTATGTTGTTTTTCTGTTTATTTTTCATCATATTACAGTATAAATTTCAAAATGATTTTCTACGCAAATGAGTTAGTTAATATATGGGAAATACCTTTACTGGAATGGCACTATTTAGCACCTGACATGGTATCTTCCCTTAATAACATATGAATAACAATGAATGTTACGAGGGCATGTACAGTTTCTTTTTTTCCTTAAATTTCTATTAGTGAAACACCATGAGGTACAGTTGTAGACTTACAAATTTTTGTGCTTGGGTTTCAGTTATACAATGATTGAGTACCCACCCCTCCACCAGTACCCATTCTCCACCTCCAATGCTCCCAGCATCCCTCCCACCCACCCCACCCCTGTGGCAGGGCATTACCTTTTGTTTTCTCTCTCTTTTGGGGTGCTGTGGTTTGCAAAAGAGGCATTGAGTGGCAATCATGTTCGGTCTATAGTCTACTCTCATCACACATTTCCCATCCTGAGAGGAACCTCCCAACACCCTTTATTTTTATTTATTTATTTATTTATTTATATATTTTTTTCCCTTTATTTTATTTTATTTTTTTTACAGTTGTAGATTTACAATTTTTTGTGCTTTGGTTTCAATTATACAATGATCAGATACCCATCCCTCCACCAGTGCCCATTTTCCACCACCATGGATAATATCCCTCCCACCCCCATCCCCCCATCCCCCCTGTCTCTGTGGCAGGGCAATCCCCTGTGTTCTCTCTCTCCTTTTGGCAACACCCTTTATTTGGTGCTCCCTTCTCTATCTGAGCTGCCTTTTCCCCTAGCGTGTGTGGCTGTCCACAAAGCCAGGGCATGCACAGTTTCTTACAGGAATTGTTATGTATTCTGTCTACTAGGAAAGTCATCCAGTCTAAGGATGCCACTTGAAATTGTTCCTAAGTCTGTCAAGTCACTTCAGGTGGTTTTGCCAAATCTCTTGTCTGAATTAACTTGTTAATAACCCTCTTACTTCTTAAAGTGATTCCATAAGTAAATTTAAAGGAACACAAATCCTGAAAACAGTAACAGCTTCATTCCGTGGTAATACTGAAACTATATTAGAAGGAAAGTAGGGCCCAGAGTGGATGGGGCACTTGCCTTGCCTGCTACCATCCCCATCCCCTAAGCACTGCTAGGTGTGGCTATAAACAAAACAAAAAGGACGATATACAGAATACCATTATTTTTGCCTGTATAACATAAAAAACACGAGGTGGTTAGGAGAACTAAAACACTGCTTCGCAGTGACTTGGGAAACCAGAGATCATGGGCAAGATGTCCTTTTTTGATGTTTAAAGGAGTGGGGTCTCCAGCTGCCTTCTGCAGACTAATGCTTGTGCACAGGTGTAGAAAGATTGAAAAGCAGTGATGTGCCCTAGCAGTTGGAACTGTTTGTCTGTTGACTGGTAGAGAGGTGCTGGTTTGCCCGTACAAAAAGGGCTAAGAAGACAGGTTTAGAAAACCCTACAGGGTTATCTGATTCTGGACATAAATATCTTCGGTTTTCTTTGACCACACAATTTTAAAACTTTCAATTATTAAAATATGATAGTAATACAAATGAACCTTCCCTGTAGAAAAAGTTAAATTTGCACATAATGGAGATCTCACTCAGCGTGTGTGGAGTGATTCTGGGGGTTGACCTCATGACCTCATTCCTGCTCTGCTACTCCTTGTTTCTTTTTTAAAAAAACATTCATCATAGTTCTAAGGTACTTTGTTGAAAGTGGTGTCAGCATTTGCGGTCTTGGTGTATATTCCTTGTTTCTTACTGCATTTATATGTCCACTTAGAATTTCATTCGAATTTAGTCCTACTGTTTCTGTTTTGGATTTTTGTTCCTTCCCTTGTTGCTGTGGTTATGGGTACTTACCAGGGGTTGCATGCTTAGGTGTCATACTCGCATTTTCTTTAAGTTAACAGTGCCCACGTACATTCTGGTTCTAGTGCTTATTGGAGCTGCTTTGTTTATTGCTGGCACTTGCTTTGTGGAGGCCACATCCCTGATTGAGTTACTCACACAGGTTTTTCAGCCAGGAAGCGTATGCTTCAGTTATCATACATCTTACATACACCTGGCTGTGCTCTGGAGATGGCATACTTTGAATTCTGCTTCTCACCAGAGATTAATCTCATGATCTCATGCTTGCAGGGCAGGTAATTGTAGCCACTCTACCATCTCCAGGACTCCTTTTTTGAGGGGGGTTGGGGGGAGCAGGGCTGTTTTCCCCCCTCTCAGCCACCCCTGCTTTCCTTTTTCTTTCTTTTTTTCTTTTTTAACTTTTATTAGTGAAACACCATGAGGTACAGTTGTAGACTTACAAACCGCCCCTGCTTTCTTACTGAAAGAAAAATGTTTAACAGAATAAATTGATCTTTGTGTGTGTTCGGGGTGGGGCAGGGGGTGCATACCTGATGGTGCTTGGGGGGCCATTCCTAGTGCAGTGCTCAGGGGAACATGTCATACTAGGGATTAAACCTTGGGGCTCCCAAAAGCGAAGAATGTGCTCCAGCCCTTGGAACCATTGACCCAGTTACCAAAAAAAGAAGGGCTGGAGCACAGTAGAGCAGGCAGAGCATTAATTAGCCTTGCGCTCAGCCCTCTCAGGTTGGTTTGATCTCTGGTACCCCCTATGGTCCCCAGAGAATGCCAGGAGTAATCCCTTAGCACATAGCCAGGAGTAAACCTTGAGCACGGCCTATACAATCTTTCTGCCCTATCCCTCAATTTGTTTTAAAAGAACACAAACAATTTAAAGAATTAAAAAATAATATGTTACATTTAATTAAAAATTAACACTAATCTTTGTAAGGGAGCCATTTCAACAGTGTATTACCAGATTTTCTTTCTTTTTTCTTGAACCAGATCTTCTACAGACATGCAGGTTTTGTGAATATACTTTTGTTTTTCAGAGTGGCAGCAACTACGCTTATCTGGAGCAGCTGGAGAGCTTATCTGCTAAAGGGCGCCCTATCCCTGTGCGTCTTGATGCATTACCCCAAGTAGAATCCCAGGTGGCAGCGGCGCGGGCATGGAGGGAACGGACTGGGAGGACCTTTCTTAAGAAGAATTCCAGTCATACGTTGCTCCAGGTAAAGAGTAATTTACATATACTCAAGTCTATGCCCTCATGAAAAGTCGATCATTTAGCGCCCTAAGGTGATTGTAGTAGTAGTAGTTGTATTGGTGAGGGTGACTTACGCTTTTTATGGTCGTAGGTAGTATCAAAGAGGGCTGGAGCGGTAGCACAGCGGTAGGGCATTTGCCTTGCACGCAGCCAACATGGCCAACCCGAGTTCGATTCCTCCGCCCCTCTCGGAGAGCCCAGCAAGCTGCCGAGAGTATCTCGCCCGCATGGCAGAGCCTGGCAAGCTCCCCGTGACGTATTCGATATGCCAAGCACAGTAACCACAAAGTCTCCAATGGGCCCGCTCGAGAAAATCGAACAACGGGAGGACAGTGACAGTGACAGGTAGTATCAGATGTTGACCAAGTTAGTAGCCTCAGGCATACTTCCTTTTGGTTCATCTTACGTTGTGTCCAGAAAAGCCAGTTAGCTTGCTGCTGTTTATGTTAGTTTTTGATTTTGGGGCCACACCCGGCTCTGTCCAAGGTATTGAACCCAGGTCTCTGGCGTGCCCTTTGAGCTCTCTCCCCAGCCCAAGTCGGCCAGTCTTTATTATTGTTGGAACGATGTATTATTATGTATTTCTCAAACTTACTTTTATTTTTGCTTCACTTCCAGGGACCCTTTAGCATGTGCACTGTTACATAAGCACTCAGAGGTCTTACTTCACAGAGCACAGATTTGAGTGCTCATTCCCCTTTTCATCTGGAGCAGTTGAATAGTTAAGAATGTAGATTTTGGAATGAGATCGTCCTGTAGCTGAGGTTTAGCTCTCTAACGGGCAGCTCTGTGTGCTTGGGCAAGTTGTTGCTCTTCTGAGCCTCTGTTCCTTTGTTTATAAAACACAGATAATAACCCATTTCAGAAAGTTGTGAGGATTGAATTAGGTAATAGATTGAAAGTCCTTGGGAAAATGCCTAGGCATAGTGACTTGTTAGTAAAGCTGCTTGTTTCCTTTGTAGTAGTCGGTACTTTTTTTTCTGATCCCGTCGTTTGCTGTCCTTACCACTTTTTGAAAAGCAAAGCTTAGGGTTTGGTTTTATTTTGTAGGTGCTGAGTCCTCGAACTGACATTGGTATATATGGGAGTGGTAAAAACAGAAGGAAAAAAGTAAAGGAACTAATAGAAAAAGAGAAGGAAAAGGATCTGGACCTTGAACCTCTTAGTGATCTGGATGAAGGATTGGAGGAAACCAGGGATACAGCCATGGTGGTAAGAAATTACATAATATATATTCAGTTTATTTGGGAAGTCCAAAGTTCTCTGAAAGTGTGTGTGTGTGTGTGTGTGTGTGTGTGTGTGTGTGTGTATGTACATATATGTACATAGCACTTTGACTTTTGAGGTTCTTTGATTTTTGTTGGGTTTTGGCCACACAGTGGTGTGGGTACTCCAGGCTGGGTTTTGGTAGTGCCTGGCCAGGAAGGACCATGCAAAGTATGTGTTTCAGCTGTTTTAAGCTTTTACCCTACACCTGTTTTTTATGTTCTTTATTTTATTGGTGGCCACACCTGGTAATGCTCAGCAGCTGCCTCTGACTCAGTGCTCAGGGGTTGCTTCTGGCAGTGGCTGGGGGACCATTCAGTGCTTGTTTTAAACCCAGGCTAGGGCTAGAGCAATAGTACAGTGGGTAGGGTCTTTACCTTGCACGCAGCTGACCTGGGTTCAGTCCCCCGACATCCCCCCAAGGACCCCCAGGAGTAACCCCTGAATATCATTGGGTATGACCCAAAAAGCAAAATGAATAAAGAAACGCAGGCCCTCTACCCTGTTCGTAGCTTTATGAGGTTCTTGTTTTCATTATTATTTATTTTTTTCTATTTTCAGTAGCACTGTCCTACCATTGTTCATCAATTTGCTCGAGTGGGCCCAGTAACATCTCCATTGTGAGATTTGTTGTTACTGTGTTTGGCGTATTGAATTCATCATGGGTAGCATTGCCTTGTGGGCGAGATACTCTTGGTAGCTTGCCGGGCGGAGCGATAGCACAGCGGTAGGGCATTTGCCTTGCGCGTGGCCAGCCTGGACGAGCCAGGTTCAATTCCTCTGCCCCTCTTGAAGAGCCCGGCAAACTATTTTCAGTATTTTTTTTCATTTTTTATCTTTTTATACATATATATACACACACACATATGTATATATAAATATATACGTATATACATGGCTTTTCAGTATTTGTAGTCAAAATACATGAAAAGTTTATTGTTCTGATTTCTCCTTAAAATTGCCTTCTCTGTAGCTCTTTTCTTTGTTGTAGTTTCTTAACAGTTGTCTAACTATAAAAATGTTCCTTAATTTACTGAATACCATTCTAATATAGAGCTGTGTGACTCTTATCAAGAGTTCACTATTTTAGGGACTGGAGATGCCTTGGTATGGTCTGACCCAGGTTTGATGCCCTGCGCCTCATGTATTACCCTGAGCTCCTGCCAGGAGTGATTCCTGAGTGCAAAGCCAGGACTAAGGCTTGAGCACCATAGGGAGTGGCCTAAGAACCACAAAAATTCACTATTTTGTATAATAATTTAGTGAACTACAAGGGCCGAGAGACAGTACAGTAGGTAGGATGCTTACCTTGGATGCAGCTGACCTGGGTTTGATCCCTGGCACCCGATATATTACTCCAAGGCCACCTGAACACAGAACCAGGCATAAACTCAGCACCATCACGTATGGCCCCAAAACAAAACAACAACAAAAAGTAGTAATAATATAGTGAACTTAATATAGTCTTTTCATTTGTTCAAGGTAGTTTCCTACACTTGACTTTTAGGAATGGGGTACGATAGCATTTTGTGATGTATGATGCCGTTATATCCAATATTTTTTTCAAAGGAATTATGCCAATTCAACTGATGACTGTTACTTGATGTATATGCCTTACAGTTTTCAATAAACATTATAGTGAAATGACCATTAAAGTGTTTGTAGTTAATTTACTTTGTTTTTGGTGGTGAGCACATAATTGGCAGTGCTCAGTGCTTGCCACTGGTGGTTCTCAAGGACTAAGACCTGGTCTTTAGGGTGCAGAGCATGGCCAGTTGTCGTCCTTTGAGCTACCTACATCTTCCCCCACTCTCTCTCCTTTTTTTTTTTTTAAGAGGAGAAGGGGCCACTGGAAATTAAGAGAAAATAAAAATGTTTGAGAAATACAGAATAGTGGAAAATTGTATATATTGAGTAACGTGACAATCATTTCTGTGTACAGATGATCTTGTTTTGAGGCCAATGGAAATGACTTCTCATTAGAGAGGGTCATAACAAAACTCTTACCAGGCCATTTGGACTGGAAATTTAAAATTGACGCTATACCCGAGTTTAAAAGGAAAATGCGCAATTTTTTTTTTGATATTTCAGTTTCGTCGACTTTATTTTTTTATGTGAATTACATAAAACATAGTTGTATTTGGGTTATCCGGCTTTGTTCTGCTAATTGATTCATAAAGAATTTGCTCCCAGGGAATGAATGATAAAAAATGGGGGACTATAGTATTTATCTTGTAACAGGCACCAAGTTAGGCATTTTCGCATAACAACTGTTTTTGTTATTGTTGCTTATATTTTGGGGCCGCACTTGTGGCCCGTGGGTTACTTCTCACTGGTGCTTGGAGCGTCATGCCGTCTCAGGGACTGAACCTCAGCTTTTCTCTGGCCTTCATGTGTTATCTTATTTAACCCTTAAATAAACCATGTAAGGTTGGCGGTACCTCATTTTTTTAGAGTGCCAAAATTTAGAAAACTTCTACTCCAGATCAGTTTAAGTGTGAGAACCAGACTTCAAATTTAGGTCGCAGTTGTTAGGGTGCTCGAAATTTTAGAAAATGATTGATAATTTTTATATTTTTGGTTTTTAAGCCACACCCATCTCTGCTTACAGTCCCCCTACTGTGCTTGGGGGACCATGCCAGGCCAGAGATCGAATCTGGGAGACTCGTGGACATGTGCCTTCAGTTGTTTGGGCTACCTCCACAGCCTGAGAACTTTTCTAAGGCAATGCTTTGTCACCATGAGATCACAATTTGGAGATGAACCCTCAGCTGATAGGATTTGGTGTTTTGAAATAATTTGCAGTGATTTCTCTCAATTAAATGCTGTCATATACAGGTGGCAGTTTTCAAAGAACGGGAGCAAAAAGAAATTGAAGCCATGCATTCCCTCAGAGCAGCCAACCTAGCCAAGATGACAATGGTGGATCGCATCGAAGAAGTAAAATTCTGCATTTGTCGCAAGACTGCAAGTGGGTTTATGCTACAGTGTGAGCTCTGCAAAGACTGGTTCCATAACAGCTGTGTTCCCCTTCCTAAGTCAAGTTCCCAGAAGAAAGGATCTAGCTGGCAGGCTAAAGAAGTTAAATTCCTTTGCCCTCTATGTATGCGGTCTCGGAGGCCAAGGCTGGAGACTATTCTGTCACTCCTGGTGTCCCTTCAGAAATTGCCTGTCCGATTGCCCGAAGGAGAGGCCTTGCAGTGTTTGACTGAACGTGCTATGAGTTGGCAAGACAGAGCCCGGCAGGCCCTAGCCACAGATGAACTGTCCTCTGCCCTGGCCAAACTCTCTGTGTTAAGCCAGCGTATGGTAGAACAGGCAGCTCGAGAAAAAACAGAAAAGATTATCAGTGCAGAACTCCAAAAAGCAGCTGCCAACCCAGACTTACAGGCAAGTTCAAGATCTTCATTTTCTTGGTTCTGGTTGGGATGAATCATAGCTCGAGTTCCTGAGCTGTTGCTTCTGGCAGTGCTTGGGGGAGAGCATGTGGTACTGGGAGTTGGGTTTGGGGCTTCTGTGTGCAAAAGCACATCTCCTGTCCTTGGAGCCATCTCCCCGTTCAGAGATCTTTAGATTTTATTTCTTGTTGATGTGGTAATACTGATGTGTATACGTTTTCAATAAAATCTTACCTGTTGATTAAAAAAATAATAATGAGATGTTGGCAACTATGTTATCAAAGAGCTTTTTTCCTAAATACATTTGTAGTTCTTTGTTTTTATTTTTTAAATTTATATATTAGTGATAGTGGAAATACCTTTCAGATACACCTTGCCATCATAATCAGACGATTTAAGTACTAACTGTTGGGTTTATTACATTTGGCAGTCTTAATCACCCATTGATTGTGTTCATTTTGACTGTCTGTTCATTTTGCATCGTTTGTTGTTTAGGGACACTTACCTAGTTTCCAGCAGTCTGCTTTTAATCGTGTGGTGAGCAGTGTTTCTTCTTCCCCTCGACAAACAGTGGACTATGATGATGAAGAAACAGATTCTGATGAGGACATTCGGGAGACATATGGCTATGACATGAAGGTAATTACATTGGCAGCCTGTGTGGATATATATGTGATCACTCCACATTGTTCGATTCCTCCGTCCATCTCGGAGAGCCCGGCAAGCTACCAAGAGTATCCCACCCCCATGGCAGAGCCTGGCAAGCCCCCCATGGCGTATTCGATGTGCCAAATACAGTAACCAGAAGTCTCACAATGGAGATGTTACTAGTGCCCGCTCGAGCAAATCTGTGAACAGTGGGAAGACAGTGCTGCAGTGCTTTGTTCACATTTACTTATGACTGAATTTTATACTAACTAGGGTACAGCCAGACCATGGCTTATTAAAACTTTCTCCATGTGAGACCCTCCCCCCACTTTTTTCTGAAATAGGTATCCTTGGTAAGCATAGACAGAAACATTTCAAATTTATTTCATAGTGGAGTTTTCATTTTTGAAAAGCTAATGACAGTGATGTTTGAGGCCGAAAGAAGAAAAAGTGTGTAGCCATCAAAATCTTTAGCTGTCATTTCATCGTGACTTTGTGGTAATGTGTTTGTTGACTTTGGGTTAGGGACTCTGGTGTGGTGTCCATGTGACCCGGGTCCACTCCAGGTGAAACTCAGCAAACTGGATTCTGTGCTAGGGCCTGAGGTTGCGGTGCTGCTCAGCCCTGTGCATCAGAGATGGATGATACCTGGGGTCATTGTTTTGAATTTGCAGAGTTACAGTTAGAGTGGGCTGGAGTAGTAGCAGGGCTGGAGTGATAGCACAGAGGGTAGGGCATTTGCCTTGCACGAGACCGACCCGGCCGACCTAGGTTCGATTCCTCTGTCCCTCAGAGAGCCCGGCAAGCTACCGAGAGTGTCCCGCCCACACGGCAGAGCCTGGCAAGCTCTCCATGGCATATTCAATATGCCAAACGTGGTAACAACAAGTCTCACAATGGAGACGTTACTGGTGCCTGCTTGAGCAAATTGATGAACAGCGGGAGGACAGTGCTGTAGTGCTATGCTACAATGCTACAGTTAGAGCACGTTATTTGGCCTCTGTGATTTAGTAATGACACCACATCAATGATGATGAGAAAGCTTTGGAAAGTTTGTTTGTGTTGGATGTTTAGTTCTTAATTGTTTTGTTTGTTTTTGTCAGACCCAAGTCCCTGTCTTTTATCTAGTAATGACAGGACCTAGGCAGAGACCCTGCTAAGGTTACTGCTGATGAATCCAGTGATCTCTTTTATATTATTCATTGTTATGTTTACAGCCTATACTTACAACTGGGAATTTCATACTGTGACATATGAAAGCACTGCAGTACATTCTTCTCCCTACCTTTTAAATATTTGAACAGAGTCTTTTGCACTTGCAGGTTTGGTACTATTCATTCTTAGAGCAGGAGTCCTGTCAGCATTGAAACTCTAGGATGCAAAATTAAAACCATCCATCATGAATGCTTAATTAGCTGTAGAAAATATTTTTCTCAAGCTAAAAGTGGATATAAATCCAGGTGATATATTATTTAGAGATTTTCTAGTGACACGAATTAAATAGTTGAGGAAAGCCACAACTTAAATTAGCCTCTTAAAATCAGCTTTTCAATAACTTGTGATCTTTCTTTATGAAATTGTGTGAATAATATGCAGCCTGTATCAGCTCGCTTTTTAAGAATTGCTTGTTTGCCTCTGATGCTTGAGTTGTTTTCTCTCTAGCACATTAACTATTAACCCCTATTCTGGAATTGGTACAAGTTTTGACTTTTTTTGAAAATGGTTGTTAACCTATGAAAACAAAACACAAGTATTTCATGATTTCAGGACAAGGGATCAAAGCTGTGGTTTGACAGGTTTGGACAGAGCCCTTTTTAACAAAGATTTTATGGGTGTCTATTGTCTCTTTGGTAAATTGGCAAGGTAGAAAATAAACCTGTGGTCAGCTACTTATTTAACAGTGTACATGAGTTGGAGAGTGGTGATAAAACTTAATGATGAGTCAAAGTCATGTGTACTTTGAAAAAATTATCTTTTGATACTGAAGAGACAATACAGTGGGGAGGGTGCTTGCTTTGCACATGGTTGACCTGCATTTAATCTTTGGCATCGTATATGATTCCCTGAGTCCTACCAGGAGTAATTCCAGAGTGCAGAGCCAGGAGTAACTCCTGAGTATCGCCATTGTTGCCCCACTCCAAAAAGCCCTCAAAAAATAAATTGTCTTTTTCAGGGGCTGGAGAGATGGCACAGAGGGTAGGGCACTTCCCTTGTATGCAGGTAAGCTCTACCAGGAGTAATCTCTGGGTACAGAGTAGTAAGTGACACGAATTAAATCCTGAACACTGCTGGGTGTAACCCAAGTCCCCTTTCAAATATCTTTAAAAAGATAAATGAAAAGCTATCTTTTCCAGTTATCGTTGCATTAAAAAAAAATCATACTCTAGTTTTCCGGTACAATAGGCATGGGGAACACTTACTTCTGCTAAATGCCGTTTGGATATAGTATTTATGGGTCTTAAAACATTGGTTGAGAGGCCAAAGGCAGCTGGTAAGAAACCCTTGTTGGGGCTGGAGAGAGCACAGCAGGTAACGTGTGTGCTTGTATGTGACCTACTCCGCTTCAAACCCTAGCACTCCATATCGTCCCCTGAACCACAGGAGTGGTCCCTAAGCTCAGAGCCAGAGTAAGCCCTGAGCATGCTCTCATCACCCACATGCCCCAGATAAAAAGCAGCAGCAGCAGCATACGTCATACATGGTTTAATAGGCCATATATAGCCCACAGATCAGACATTCTCCACCCCTGCCATAGAATTAGCATTTACCGTGTACTGAAATTTTTGTCAGCTTATTTGCAGTTGTCTTGTCGATTTCTCCCCCTCCATCATGATGTTACTGGTTGTGACCATGAATTCAGTTCTAATGTAACTTAATTATCTTTTCTTGAGGAGACTCCTGTTGGTGTAGGTAACTGTATAGAAAAATAAAGTTAGTTATTATATCTTAATTATAGCATTTTGTTTTGTCACGCCCAGTAGTGCTTGGGGCTTACTCCTTCTCTGTACTCAGGGATCACTCCTGGCTTTCCTGGAGGAAACTATATGTGGGGCTCGGCATCAAACACAGGTTCCCTGCATGCAAGACCAGTGCCTTAGCTTCTATACCATGTCTCTGCCCTTACCATGACATTTATGTTCTCTAGCAGAAGATTTGAGTTTTGCACTTTTTCACTTTTATCTTGTTTATGATATTCTGAGAGCACCACTAAAACATTCTGAGGAGCAATTCTTGAAAAGCGTTACTTACGAAAAACATTGTTTAATGAAGCCAAGTCTATCATGGATCTTTTGCAACTGTGTCTGAGACAGTCTTTCAAATATTCATATAATTATTTCCTTTAAAGGTGTATTGCTAATCATTTCTGAAACTATGTTAGAGTTCTGAAAATATGTTAGAGTTCTTTTTTAAGAGTTCATATTTTGCAAACATATGTACATAATTCTATCAGAGTATCTGAAAGGAGGATATAAGATAGTTAAGTCGTTATTTTTCAGGTAATTTTTTTCTCTTCCCAGAAAATGCTTATTTTAGAGATAGGCGGGTAAGAACTTAGATTCTGATTTTAGGTTGTTCTTGCTCTCCCCCTCCGCCTTTATACTTGGATGGCTTAAGCCAAGTGGTGGAAATAGAGTAGTTGTGTCTGAGATTTTAGCTCTCAGGCCAGAAAAACTGGTGTGACATCCTTATGTAAAACGCATTCCTCATTGAGAGACCAATTCCACATTTTCTACATCCCTATCATTTATTGGGACGAGCCAGAACTTTTCCTTTGGTAGAACAATTTGTTTAAGTTCGACATTAAACAATCTTTACTTTCAACCTGTGTCTTTATACTAAAACTTGACTCTTACAGTCAGCATATATAATATGCTTGTAGTTTAATTCTGCATCATATGCGTTTGAAATACATAACTTGAGTGTTCATGTATTTTGCTTTTTAAGAATGGTACAGTCACTGTCTTTTAATTGGGAGGGAGCTGGTCATCTTCACTGACTGTAACTGTTGGCATGGTTTCAGTGAAATTGACCATCTTGGTGTATCTTTTTTGTTATCCAGTTTGCCTTTGTAATTGTTTCATTTTATTTCCTCTAATGACTTTCATCTATGCCCCCTTTTAAAATTGAGAGCTAACAGTACATTTTTTAAACTTACTGCAGTCAACATTGAACTTTGTCACATTTACTACTTTACCTTGGAAAAGTAGATTGTTATTTTAATTTTGGGCGCACACTCTGGCGTTTACGGGCAGCTCCCAGCTCAGTGCTTCAGGGGCACTCCTGGCAGTACTAGGGGAACTCCATGGTGCTGGGGATCAAACCCAGGCCTCCTGCGCGTCGCATTGCTCAGTACATTGAGCCGTCTCTCGAGCTTTTGGAAAATTAAACAATTTCTTGGCATCCACGATGTGGCTTGAGTAATGACTTTCAGCCATTACATACCTGTGAGCCTGTGGTTGGAAACTACTGCGGTAGAGCAACTACCTGGCACGCCTGGACCCTAAGTAGAACACCGGCAGCACAGCCCTGCACCCCTCCTTTGTACTGCTGATTGGGACCTCGAGCCCTGGAGCACCGCGCTGCTCCTCCAGGCCCACGCCAGCAAGCTGAGCATTGTAGATGGTGGCCTTGACTGAAGTAAATTCTCTTCACCTATTTACTACTTTCTATAGTTATTTTCTGATCACTTTAGATTTTGAAGGTTTAATGGACGGTTCCATACATGAGATGCAATAAAATGAGTAAACTCGAGGTCATAAAAGATAATTCCGGAAGCAGCATCGGGGAACAAAAGTAGGACTGTGCTAGTGTAGGATTTGAATTCTTGAATAGAAAAGACTGAATTGCTCTTAAGTTACGTTGTTTTCCAGAATCCTCCTGTTTACTTTTGTTCTGTGTTTTGAGCCTCACTGCAACTTGAAGTGCTCAGGAGTCACTCCTGGAGGTCCTTGGGACCATGTAGTATTGGGTATAGAACCTAGGGTTCCTGCTGCAAAGTTATGCTCCAGCCTGTTGAGCTGTCTCCCTGGTTCCCCGTAATCCTTTCAGTAAACCTGTTATGTCTAACTAAGTATAGTCCTGTGGTAGTGACTCTTCCTTTCATGTATGTTGCAGGCACTTAAGTGTTGGGTTCATCATTAGGAGTGTGCTTGCTCTTAACCCACTCTTTCTCTCTCTCTCTCTCTCTCTCTTTCTTTCTTTCTTTCTTTCTTTCTTTCTTATTGAATCACTCACTGTGAGGTAAGCGGAAAGTTACGATTTGGTTTCAGTCATACAGCATTGCAACACCTGTTCCTTCATCAGTGTACATTTCCCACCACCAGTGTCCCCAGTTTCCCTCCTGCCACCCTCCCCACTCTAGTGTTTCTCTCTTTCTCTCTCTCTCTCTCACACACACACACACACACACACATATTGTGGTTTGCAATATTGTTACCAAAAGGGTATCATGCATATCTCTTTACTTCCTTTTAGCACTCGTGATCGTTTCCAAGTACCCATTGTCTTAGTGGTCCTTTCTCTGTCCTAACTGTCCTCCTCTCCCTACTTGTGGCAAGCTTCCAACTAGGGACCAGTCCTCTCTTGTTTATGTTGTCTTTGGGTATTCGTCTCACTATGTTTTTTATATCCGGCAGATGAGTGCAATATTCTCTCCCTTTGACTCATTTTTTTTTCTTTTTGGGACACACCCAGCGATGCACAGGGGTTACTCCTGGCTCTGCACTCAGGAATCACTCCTGGCAGTGCTCGGGGGGCCACATGGGATGCTGGGAATCGACCCCGGGTCGGCCGCGTGCAAGGCAAACGCCCTACCCTCTGTGCTATCGCTCCAGCCCCCCTTTCACTCATTTTACTGAGCGTGATACTCTATGTCCATCCATGTGTAAGCAAATTTCATGCCTTTATTTTTCCTGGTGGCTGCGTAGTATTCCATTATGGCGTACGTCTTTATCCAGCCATCTGTTCTTGGAAACTCAGGTTGTTTCCACATTCTGGTTATTGTAAGTAGTGCTGTGGTGAACATATAAGTGCAGATAGCTTTTCTGCTGTGTATTTTTGTGCCCCTAGGGTATACTGCTAGGAGTGTTATTGCTGGCTCATATGGAAGCTCAATTTCTAGTTTTTTGGGGGAATGCCCATCATGCTATTTTCTAAAAAGGCTGTACCAATTTGCATAGGGAATGCCTTGCCACAGAGTCAGAGTGGGATGGGGGTATGGGGGGTGGGAGGGAGGCTGGGACCCGTGGTGGTGGAAAATGGGCACTGGTGGAGGGATGGGTGTTTGATCATTGTGTAATGGAAACCCAAGCACAAAAATTTGTAAGTCCACAACTGTACCTCATGGTGTTTCACTAATAAAAATTTAAAAAAAAGGAAATTTGCATTCCCACCAACAACGATTGAGAGTCTCTTTCTCCCCCCGCATTGCACCCGCGTGGGTCTTTTCTTGTTCTTGTTGATGTGTGCCAATCTCTTTGGTGTGAGATGATAATCTCTTGTTTTGGTTTGCATTTCCTCCCTGGTGATTAGTGATATGTAGAGCATTTTTTCATGTGCCTTTCACCATCTGTATTTCTTCTTTGAGGAAGTTTCTGTTCTTTCCATTTTTTAATGTAACCCACATTTTAGTATTCTTTTCTGTGATTCTGGGACTGGAACTAAACACCAGGAGTAACTAAATTCTTTTTAAATGTCTGTGTGTGTGTGTATATACGTATATTTGATGTGTGAGCATAATACTATATCAATATTGATGACGTTTTTTATATATATATAAGGTTTTACAAGCCACATATTATCTTTATTACATCTTTCTTTTTTATTACATCTTTAAAACTTTTTTTTTTTTTGCTTTTCGGGTCACACCTGGCGATGCACAGGGGTTACCCCTGGCTCTGCACTCAGGAGTTACACCTGGTGGTGCTCAGGGGACCATATGGGATGCTGGGAATCGAACCCCGGTCGGCCGTGTGCAAGGCAAACGCCCTACCCGCTGTGCTATCTCTCCAGCCCCTCTTTAAATTATTTTAAAATAAAAGATTTGAGCAGTGAGAGAGGGCCTTGATTTTCTGTTTATTCTCAATTCCTGTCTTCTGAACCACATTTTTTTCAGTAACTGATGGTTCTGATTTCTGACTTTATTTCCATATCCCTGAAACTACCACATAATATTCCATTAGAGAGAAGTGACTTCCTCCTCAGGCTCCCAACTCTGCAGAAGCCCTTCTCTGAGTCTGGATTCTAATAACTCTTGTCTCTGTACTTTGTTGCCATAAATCCTTTTTTGGCATCAAACTCCCCCACCCCCTTTTTTGCAGTTATTTTGGTGTTACTTGATGTTTCCCATTTGCCTTCTCAAGCCTTTAAATATCTATTTATCCAGTTCACTTTTTTGAACTCCCTGTAGAAATATCTGGTTTCTTTGTTTCTCATTGCACTGTTGACAATTTAAAGCTCTGAAAATTAACTACACAATCGTCTGAGACCTAATTAGAGCTATATAATTCCATTTTATGTATTTTTGTGAGAGTAACCTTTTGGGAGGGTATAGGAATTTTTATAAATTGTAGAATGTAGAAGATAGATGATATAATAGTGGTTTTCTTTCTATGGATTATTTTTAAGTGTTTTTCTTTTCCCTTTAATTGAAACTGTGATTATTTCTCTCTATGGGCATGGTTTATCTTAATATCAAATGTTTAATTTTAAAGTGATATTTTTAATGTTGTCTTAAATGTTTAAACCTGAAATTTTGAATTTAGATTCTTTTCATAGTTAAGTTGTTCTACTTATCAGTATGTCTCTTTGCTACTGCTTCAGGACACAGCCAGTGTGAAGTCCTCTAGTAGTCTGGAACCCAATCTTTTTTGTGATGAAGAGATTCCCATCAAGTCTGAGGAGGTGGTGACTCACATGTGGACAGCACCTTCATTCTGTGCAGAACATGCTTATTCCTCTGCTTCTAAGAGTTGTTCTCAAGGTATTGGCGGGGCTGAGAGAGAGGACAGTGGGTAAGGCGCTTGCTTTGCATGCTGCTGACCTGAGTTCAATCTCTAGCACTTCATATGACCCCCACCCCACATCCCCCTCCGGCTCTGCGAGGAGTAATCCCTGAGCTCAGTTAGGTGTGTGTCCCCTCCTCCGCCTCCCAGAAACTAACATTTTCAAAGTGTAGGGAAGACAAGCCTGAAAATGATGAGGAAAAAAGTCTACTAATCTCTTCAATACAGATTCTGTTCATGAAATGTAGCAGAATCTGAAAATGCAAGAAGTTACCAAAATATAAGATGACATAGTATTTATATCTTAGGTTTCATGAGCCACATATGATTTCTGTTCTTTAAAAAAAATTTAACATTAACTTAGGTCACAGGTGTTACCTAAAAGATGTGAAAGTTGGAGAGTTTTCTCTTTTCAAAGTAAATTTTTAAGGTTTTGTGGAATAGTCTGTTCATTAGGAAGATAACTATATAATAGCTGTGTGTATTCTATACCACACACATACACATAAAAGTTAGGTACTTAGTCTTTTTATACTCTAAAATAGAGTGTGGATTAAGATTCTTTCCATACTGGCACAAGACAAACAAGGAGTCAATTTTTTTTTTTCCCTTTTTGGGTCATACCTGTCAATGCACAGGGGTTACTCCTGAGTCGTGCACTCAGGAATTACTCCCGGGCAGTGCTCCGGGGACCATCTGGGATGCTGGGAATCAAACCTGGGTCGGCCGCGTGGAAGGCAAATGCTCTACCCGCTGTGCTATTGCTCCAGCCCTAGGAATCAATTTTTTATTTAAAAGTATTTGTACTTTAACCAATTTTATATTAGATGGTAAGTTTTAGACTTTTGTTCTGTATTTTTTTTATTTCATTTTCACTTTCATACTGATTGGAGTGAATCCAGATAACTAAAATCATTATTAATAGAGGAGAGATTGTCCACCTAAATACTTATCTTGAAACATTTTCCCCATGACTTTGCTTACTTTGCTTTTCAAATTAAAAAAAAATTTTTTTTTTAAATTTAAAGTTTCTAGCACTCCACGGAAACAACCCCGGAAAAGCCCTTTGGTACCTCGAAGTTTGGAGCCTCCAGTGTTGGAGTTGTCACCTGGAGCTAAAGCACAATTAGAAGAACTTATGATGGTTGGAGATCTCCTAGAGGTATCTCTCGATGAGACTCAGCATATATGGCGGATTTTGCAGGCCACACACCCACCCTCTGAAGACAGATTCCTGCATATTATGGAGGTATGGATTTAAAGTATAAACAGTGGTTATAAAAATACTTGATTTAGAATGCCCACACTTCTTGAAGTTATCACAAATGCTGGGCGGGATAGCCTAACAAGCTAACCGTGGCGTACTCGATATGTCAAAAACAGTAACAGTGAATGGTCCTCGTCCCCCTGATCCTGAAGGAACCCCTAACATGTCATCGGGCTACACTAGCACGTGATAGGGACGAATGGAGACGTTACTGGGCCCGCTCGAGCGAATCGATGAACAACGGGGTGATAGTGATCACAAATGCTATCACGGAAATTACTGATTGGGCAGTGCTCTGGTGGTTTTCTTCCATTTGGCAAAGTAGTTCTGCTTTATATTTTTCCTTCTTAAAATTGTTGTTCGTTTTTATTTTGGGATCATACCAGGCAGTGCAGAGGACTTAACCGTCTCTCTTTTTTTTTTTTTGCTCGGGTTATTCTTGGCAGTGTGTGGGATTGAATCATGGTAAGCCACATACAAAGCAAACACTTAAACCTGTAGTATCTTTCTGATCTCTCTTTATGAAGGTTTTCATCTATCATTTTATGTTGCGAGTGGGTGGGGAGAAGGCCATTTCTGCTTAAAGGGGATGGGGCGGATACTGAGTATCATCACTATAGAATCTGTAGCTCAGACTTTATGACAAGTCCCAAGTTAGTAGTTAAAAGAAGCAAGGAGATAGCTAAAAAATTGAGCGAATGGGAAAGAGTCCGTGTTCATACACATACTTGCCTGTCACTTTGTAATTTATATAGTATTTTTATGTCCATAATCTCTTTAGTACAGATTCTGTACATTTAAAGATGTACAGAATTTCGAAGCTCACATACTCTAGAGGGAGATGGGGGAAGGACATTCAGCACAAGTATTTAGCCATATGTGAAAAAATTAAGATAAACAAAGAAGTGTAAACTTGCTTAATGTCAAACTAAACTCTGACATTTGACTCCTAGTGTTTTGGTGTTTCTTTTCTACTAGTTCCGTATAATGGAATGGTACTGCCACCAAAGATGATGTACATGAATTTAACATACTGTAGTTTTTGGTTTGTTTTTTGTGCTGCTGAGGATTGAACCCAAGGAAGATATACATGGAAGATATGTGTGTATTGACCATAGAACTAATCCCTAACCACTATAGTAGCTTCAATTTAGAAGTCAGGTCAAAATCTTGACTTTTTCCCAGTATTTTCCAGTCTGCAGTACTTTTTTCCATGCCCCTTATTTCCTGGGATTATCTTTATTTTACCATAAGAAAATAGGAAGAAGAGGGGCCTTAGCCTCAACCATGCCTTGCATATGGATGACCCAGGTTCAATTCTTGGCATCCTGTATGGTCTCTTGAGCACTGTAGGAGTAATTCCTTAGTACAAAGCCAGGATTAATTTCTGAGCATCGCTAGGTGTGCCCCAAAACCAAAAAAAAAAAAAAAGGTTAACTATCTTGTTCAAAATGTGGTAGACTTGAGTTATTTATAATGTAGTGTTCTTTTGGATTTCTTAGTCTCACAGTAGAGGTAGAACATACACCTTACATGTCGGAGGCCTGTGTTACTGCAAAACAAAACAGAAACTTTCATTTTAATCTGTAAAAAAATTGAGTTCTCAGTTGTTATTTCTTAGTAACTATGAAGCTCACAGGTTTTTAAAAAATTATAGCCTAGGTAACATGGTTATAGTAATGGTGATATTTAATGTACTAATGTACATAGCCACTGCACTTACCAAAGCTCATTTTTTTTCTTTTTTTTCTTCTTCTCCCTTGATTATTTCTGTTACTGGCATACTTTTACTATTAGAATTTTAAATGCTTATTACATAATAAAGGAGTATTATAGATTTGAAAAGGAAAACTGGCAGGCCAGAGAGCTAGTATGGATTTGGCGGAGGGGGTGGACCGAGGGAAGTCAGGGAGGGTGTGTGCGTTTGTGGGCAGGAGTGGGGGAGTACACGTAGCTGCTGTTATGTAGTGACTACATAGTCTTTGTAATAAGGTTGTCACTTAGGCACCAGGATTTATCGTATTGATAGTGTTTCTGGCCTACAGTATCCCAAGATCACACCCACCATTAGGGTGCCCGGGTCCCCTCACCAGGTCCTTCACCTTCTCCCCACCCCTTGGGCACACTTGGTTCTGCCAGCCTATTCTCAGGCAGTTACTATTACCCACTTTAATTCCCTTCCTTTGCTTCTTTATATTTCACATTGAGCTCTCATCATTCTGATTTAATGTTATCCCTTTGATTGACTTCACTCAGCATGATGCCTCCTACATAGCTAAAACATTCGTTTGAGAAGGTATGCACACCTCTGTTCATTGCCTTGCTCAGTACAATAGCTAGGACATGGAAGCAACCCAACTGTCCGGTGACAGAGAATGGTTCTGTGCATAGGAGTGACCACTTGTTGGGGTGGGGTGCAGCATATGCAGTGCTTGCTTGGCTGCATGAAAGGCAAGTACTTGCCTCCTGTATTATCTCTTAGCTTTTTTGTTTGCTTTTTGGGTGGCCATTCCAGCCAGTGCTCTGTGCTCAGGGAACACTCTTGGCACTGCTCCAGGGACCATATGCAAGCGCCAGGGATCAAACCAGGGCTATCAGGTTCAAGGCAAGTGCCTTAACCCTTCAGGCTCTCTCTCTGGTACCTTTCTGACTTTTTAATGAGCCCAGACAGACACCACGTACTCATTAAATGTCTCCTGTTTCCTCCTTGCCATAGCCTCTGGCAATCTCTCTTGCTTATTCAGGATACCTCATGGTTTTTGTTCTGAAGCCGTACCCAGCAGTGTGCAGGACTTACTCCTGGCTTTGCACTCAGGGCTCACTCCCCGGGAGCTCAGGAGTTTGCCTTGCCTCCCTGCATGCGAGGCAGATACTCCATCACTGTACTATCTCTCTGGCCCCTCAGAGCTCCTCTTTTTGTTATTTTCATGAACTTGTTTCTACACCCGTTCTAAGTAGTCTCTCATTTTGTATTTTGAAGGATGACAGCATAGAAGAAAAACCATTGAAAGTTAAAGGAAAAGACTCTTCAGAGAAGAAACGGAAACGGAAGCTAGAAAAGGCGGAACAGCTTTTTGGAGAAGGAAAACAGAAGTCCAAGGAATTGAAGAAAACGGATAAACCCAAAAAGAAGAAATTAAAATTAAATGCAGAAAAATCAAAAGAACTGAACAAGCTGGCCAAGAAATTAGCTAAAGAAGAAGAGAGGAAGAAAAAAAAGGAAAAGGCTGCTGCAGCCAAGGTTGAAATTGTAAAAGAGAACACTGAAAAGAAGAGAGAGAAGAAAGTGCTGGACATCCCCTCCAAGTACGACTGGTCAGGAGCTGAGGAGTCTGACGATGAGAACGCTGTGTGTGCGGCACAGAACTGCCAGCGGCCCTGCAAGGACAAGGTGAGTTCTCGTCGCGTATAGTCCAGAGTGTGAGGACAAGGAGCACGCGCTTGGAGGCCTAGACTGGATGGAGGCACTGGTAGTGTTTGATTTCAGGACCTTGTGCTTCTTCCAACACCATGTTTTGTCTAGCTTTTTTAAATGATTTTGAATAGTGAGGCTTTTTGGCCAGAGTTCTTAATGGAAAATGTTGGGTCCTGCAAATCAGAAACTTAATGATCACAATGAAGCGAGCAGAGTTTATGCCATGGCTCTTAGCAGCAGTGCGCTTTGCATGTGGGTGGCGTAACATTTCCAGATAATCTTGTGCCTTCCCACTAAGATGACTCAGATAAATACCTATTCATTATCTTCAATGACCTGAGAAAAAATTATGCATTAAGGTTTGTTCCAAAGACCCAAAACTAAGGGGTTGATTTTATTTTTAGTCTGTGTCCTGTCTACATTGAGGCCGATGTGTACTCTGAAAGGGAATGTGATTTTTTTCCAGATCCATTACAATAAGACTTTTATTTTAAAAATTGTGATCCTAAATTTTGTAATTATGTGATGTACTTAGAAACTTCCAAATAAGACAGATGGGCTTTTTATGAAAAGTCTGCCAAATGACTGGAGGCATTTATTATGGTTCCCATTAAGGTTATTAAGTTCATAGTATAATTTAATTAAAATTTTTAATAGCTTGGTGAATTTATGACTAGAATAAATACATCTGTATTATCCCCTAATTTCCTTCTCAGTTAGAACTTGGAAAGATCATCTTATGTTTAGGTTCTTCATTTTTAAATGATAAAACCAGGATGCGGTGAAGGTAAATGATGTGACCAAAATCACAGATAATTAGGGGCAAAACTGAAAGTAGAACTCTGATTTCTCATTCCCAGACCAGGTTACCTCAGTGAATATCCCCACTCCACTAGTGATTCGTGTGAGTACAAAAGCACATTCCAAAATTAAGGAACTTGAAAATTACACACTAGGGTTTTTGGAAAATGAATGTATGTAGTAAATATATGTCCCATGGCATAACCTTCCAAGAATAAAAGCAGCTATAAATATTTTAGTGCTTTCTTCATTCTTTCTCTGTATAGTTCATTTTATGTCATTGTCACACCGTGTTCACTTTTGTATCTTGCTTTCTTTCTATATTATAGACATTTAACATTAGTGAATACTTGTTATTCTTATTTTTCATTTTACATTTTTTTCTCATTTGGAAGTAGAGAGATAGTGCTGCACGAAGGCATTTGTCTGCACAGGGATAACTCAGATTTGATCCCAGGTGCCCCTTATGGTCCCCTCGCCCCACCAGAAGTAAGGCCTGAGCATCGATGGTTGTGGCCCCAAAACAGAGACAAATAAATGTGCTTGTTTCAGCCTGAGATTGTTCATTAAAGAGACTATTGTGGATTAACTGTGTTTGGGTACTCAAGTATTACCAGCTTAGTGCTGACAGGACCACCTCCCTTTCTTCTTTTTTTTCCCTGCTAGGGAATCTCCCTTGCCCCCCTTTCTTGGACTTTTAATTACTTTTATGACAGTTTGGGAATAGCAGCCAGATACTCTTTTTTAAGCTTTCCGGTTAGGATTCCTGTAGTCTTTATATCCATCATGAGCCTTCCTCCTCCTTTTCATCCTTTTCATCTGGTCTCTTCTTTCTCTGCACCTTTAAACCTGATTCCGTCTATTTTCTTATTCCTATTATCGTCCTGTAGCACATAAACATTATAAGTAGTCTTTTTCTCATCTATAAAATTGTCAACATGTGCCCTAATTGCTCCTGGGGTTATGAAGATAAGGTGAGCTAATCTTACGAAAACTCCTGTTAACTGAAAAGGAGTATGAATGTTAGGATATGATTATTATTTCATTTACTTTTGGGTTTGGGGGCCATACCCAGCAGTGCTCAAAAAGCCTGTCTATAGCTCTGTACTCTCAGGTTGGTCCCAAATGAACTGTGGTTGACTGCATGACTTAACGCTTTAAGCCTATTGTCATCATTATAAATGTCTGAGGTTTCTAACATAGGAGGTTTTTAAATTTTTTAATCAAGAAACTTTTCTACATTTTGATGAAGTAAAATGAGTTCTAGATGAGTCATCAGGGAAAATGCCTATTTCAAATTATTAAACACATAGAAAGGTGAGCAAAGCATACATATAAGTCAGTAACTTAAGAAGCTTAGCAAATGTGTTTCATTTTAGACAATTTTGTATTGTTAGCACTTAGCCTTTGATTACTCTTTTGCAGTTTTCCATACAGCTTAAAGTTTGTGTCAACTTTCTACTTGCACCATTTTTACTAAGTATGTGGTATAGTTCATGAAGATCTTTATAAGACATTGGCGAGGTAGTATAGCAGGTAAGGACAGGAGTGATCTCTGAGATCACAGAGCCCTGAGCATAGTTAGGTGTGGCCCCAAACAAAGCAGATCCTTACATTGTTTACGAAAGAAAACCAAAATAATCTTACACATTCGCAGAACCAAAAAAATTTTTTTCCCCTTTTTGGTTCACACCTGGAGATACACGGGGGTTACTCCTGGCTCATGCACTGAGGAATTACTCCTGGCAGTGCTTGGAGACCATATGGGATGCTGGGAATCGAACCCAGGTCGGCTGTGTGCAAGGCAAACGCCCTATCCGCTGTGTTATTGCTCCAGCCCCCACCCAAATTTTTTTAGGGAGGAAAATTTTCTTTAAAATACCGTACAGCTGTTACAGGAAACCGGCTCAAGTGTGGGATAATGATGCCCAAAATTCTGTCTCTGGGACTACATGGATCCCTGAGTACCACCAGTTGTGGCCCCTGTTTGGGGGGGCGGAATCCTGGAGCAAAAGATTATATTTATATAACTGTACGTTCAGTTTACCTTTTTTTCAATTTACCTTTTTTGGTAACCAGCAATTTTCCTATTTTCTCTATAAATATGCAAATTGAGAAAACTTTTAAGGTTGACCGTATCCTCAGATTTATTTTCAAGATAATTTAGAAAAATTATTGCTAGATGAAAATATTGTTAGAAAATTTCCATCATTGGGACTGGAGAGAAACTTGCGCCATTGGGCGCTTGCCTTGCCTGTAGCCAACCCGGGCTCAAGCCCTGGCATTGTAGTTCCCCAAGACCATCAGGAGGAATCCCTGAGTGCAGAGCCAGGAGTGAAGCCCTGAACACCAAGAGTGTGGGCTGCCCTCCCCCAGAAAAAATAAAAACAGACTTTTCCATCATTTGAAATTAACGTCACACTAAAAATTATTTTTCCTTACATTTTGCAGGAAGGGGGAGGGGGAAGGGGTGGGGGGGTGGTGTTTGGGCCACGCTCAGCAGTGCCCAACTCTGTGTTCAGTGACTACTCACGGGTGATCACTTCTGAACGTCCTCAAGAGGTCACTTGCAGTACCAGTACAAGGCATTGAACGTGCATGGCAAAGTGCCTGACCTCCAGTACCATCCCTGAAATTACTATATCCAACCCTGAAATTATTATTTTGTTTTTGGGCCACGCCTGCCAATGCCCAGGGGTTACTCCTGGCGGTACCTGGGGACCGCATGGGATGCCAGAGATTGAATCTTGGTCAGCTGCGTGCAAGGCAAGTGCCTCTCACTGTACTATCTGTCTGGCCTCTCTGAAATTGATTTTTTTTTCAAGTATTTCAAAAAAAGTTTTAAGTTTGAGAATCCTTCACCCTGACCTACATCCTTTTATTTTAATTAAAATTATTTTTATGGTGATGCTAAGGTTCATCTCATATGTCCACTTCCCTCATTCTCTTCTACCCCTATGGTGATCTCAGTTCTATTGTCAGAGTCCAAGGATTTGTTTTCATTCACCATTGTCTGTTCCCTTCCTTTGTTTCTTGAGGAAATAAATTCTTTCAAGGCGTGTTTAACATTTTTTTTGTGTGTGTATGTCAAAGATTTTTTACATAGGCATCAGCCCCTTGTCCTTCCAAGATTTAAGTAGGCCTTTTCCTTTCCTTCAGAAGTTTAACATGGGACATAGAGATTGAGTTGGTAAACGATTTTCAGTTAGCCACTGATAATTTGTGTTATCAGTGATTTTGATCAGTTTTTGTCTTTTAGGACAGATAAAGAATGGTTGGATTACCTAAATGTGTATAACACGTACACAATCTCTGTGGACATCATCATGCACAGATGGGTAACTATGCTTTGCTGGTTTGCCTGTCTTAGCACTGATAATTGGATTTTTAGAAAACACATTGATCTTGACAAACTGAGAAATGGTCACTTAATGTTGAGAGTATAGACACACACACACACACACACACACACACACACACACACAAAGATAAGATGCTGGGTGTACATTTTGCTTTCTTAGGCAAGTAAGTAATTTTCACATTTGACTTTACAGTGAACCTTGATGCGAAAGATTGAATAGTAAAGTAACAAAACCTCAATTGGGTAACTAAGTTGACATTTCCTTGTTTATCTTCCTTAATATGTTCTCCTTTAAGGCATACATTTCCCCAAATTCAAACCCAATAACCAGCTTGTTTGATGTTAAATTAGTAGATATTTAAATAGCTCATAGTTGTTGAGTTTATTGTGATTTAATAAGTACAGGTCCAAGAAATACTGAAAGGAAATGAGAAATAACTATTAGAACATACTCTACAGTTAGCCTAGTCTCTTGCCATTACTAAAATCCTCAGTGAAGTTAATTCATATTCCAAAAATAAAAATGAACCAGGAGTAACCCCTATGCATTGCCGGGTGTGACCCAAAAAGCCAAAAAAATAAAAATAAAAATAGAAATGATTGTTTTGAACATGATGAAAATATATTAGAGAGGGACTTTTTTTTTAATCTCTGCTGGATTATGATGGTAAATTGTTCCCTTCTGGTTGTCCCCTAGTACTTGAAGGGACTTTATTGTGGCTCCAGTGATTGAATCAGGGTGGTTGCACCAGGAATTGGAGAAAGGCAGCCTCTTACTCCTGTGCTCACTCCAGCCCCTGATGAGTACCTTTTAAAAAAAATTATTTATTTGCAGACCATATCTGTTATAGCTTATTTCTGGTTCTGTCGTTGGGGATCACTCCTGGTAGGGCTTGAGGGACCATATGTGGTTCCAGGAATAGAGCCCAAGCACCTTCATGCAAGGCAAGCACCATACCTTGTGTGCCACTAAGCAGCTAAAGGAAAGCTACATGTTCTTCTGGAATGGTGGGCAAGTTAGATTTGGGAATGAAAACCTATAGTCAAAACCGCAGAAGTGAAAAATTTGTCTTATTTCAAAGAGAATGACAGATTTAATTTTTGGAGAACTGGAAACCAGTGGTTATAGTGCAGAATTAGATGTTAAACATCATGACACTCTTGTTGACAGCGAATATTGCCAGTGAATACTGATAATATTAGTAACTTTCTTACCAGTGGGTTAGTAAGAGTGAACAATGAACTGGATTAAGAGGGTTACAGGTAGATTGATCTAGTGATGCTAGGGTAACATCATGAACTGGATATTGACAATTATAGACCAGAAAAGGAATTTACTGTAGGAGGAAATTAAGTTGCTCTGAATGTACGAAGATCAGTAGCACAAAGTATCAGTGACAATCAAATTTTGACCATATGACAATTATCTGAGCTGATTAAAAATGTAGATTTCTGATCTGTACACTCAAGATACTCCAAGTGTGAGTTTGGGGGTGGGTCTTGGCCACGCTTCTCAAACACAACACATAATTCTGGCGGCAAGTGGGACACATTTTCAAAAGCAGTGCTATAAGCCGTTACTTCAAAATAATTTATGTGTAGAGCTGTGAGACTTATCTTAGAAGTATTCCAGGCAGTGAACCTGGAATACTGTTTGTCATACATAATTCATCATAGTCTCTATATGTTCTCTTCATTGTACAGATGAGGAAAGTGAGCCTTTATGAAGTGAAATGACTTGCCTCAGAACTTGACAATTCAGTGGCTTTTTATTTCTACCGTATAACATTTTCTCTTTAAGATTTGTAACTTTAGATAGAAACAATGAAGTCAGAGAGATATTTTTGACAAATGATTTTTTTCATCTTTTATTACAGCCCTAAAACCACTACTCTATTTCCTTTTGATAATTTTCATAGAAGATGGGAACTAATTTTGAAAAACACACTTCCCTTAAAACCCTTTACCTAGCCAAAATCTCCTTTCTCTTTTCTTTCTCATAAGCTGTTCTAAGGTACTTATTAGTTTCATTCAGAAATCTTCTTTGCTCTGATAGCTGGTAAAGCTCATTGTTTCAAGTGGCTTTTAGTGGATAATTGCCCATGAAATGATCCAGGTTTTATATTCAAGAGAAGGAAGAGTAGAGCTTGTACTTGGAAAGATTCTAATTTGCCATGGCACCAGCTGACACAGATGACCTCCAAATATAAAAGCCAAAAGCCACTTAGTTCTTCTTACTAGTCTCTCTAGACCCAGACTCTAGTCCCTTTGTAGCCTCCTATGATCACAGTATTCTTTGAAGGGTCAAAGTTTGCCTGGCAATTGCCACCGACCTACTCGTTTTTGAGACTTTAATTTTAAACCCCAGAATGATCTATTGACCTGTGTCTTTGACTGTTTTAATTGGTTAACTTGTAAGATTTGACCTCTGATATTTGCTAACTTTTTATAGGGAGTTGTATTTGTAACGGAAGAAGAGAAGAATAAAAAATATTAGTTTTAAAAGTGGCCTATGTGACTGCTTTTCTAAAAAGGTATTTAATGCTCTTAGTATTTTGGCTTATCTCTTTGAAATAAAGCTAATACGCAGGATTGCCTTCACATTGTTGTACTCTTCCTTTCTTGATTTGTAATTGTATTGTCTTAGAGTCTAGAAATTGTTAATACTAGCTAAAACTACTTGGCTGCTCTATTAGACGTTTCCTTTTTGGTCAAGTGTTTCTGAAACATGTTTCTGCCTCACAAGGAGCCCCAGGTATTTATGAGGTAATGGAGTACCTAAGAGGCCTAATTTTTGGACACATTTTGGCAAATACATAATTTGGGGTATTAACTTCCTAGCTTCTTTCTTTAAAGTAACCCCATAAGTCATTGTCTGTCTCTGGACATTTCAGTTATTTGCTAGAACTTAAGCAAAGAAAGCTCTTTGGTTTGTTTTTATTCTAAGTTCAATGTTCATATAATCTAAACATGCCCCACTCTTGTCTCCTACAGGTAGACTGGGTACAGTGTGATGGTGGCTGTGATGAGTGGTTTCATCAAGTTTGTGTGGGTGTATCTCCAGAAATGGCTGAAAATGAAGATTACATCTGTATAAACTGTGCAAAGAAGCAAGGGCCAGATAGCCCAGATCAAGCACCACCTCCTTCCTTCCTAATGAGCTACAAACTACCAATGGAAGATCTTAAGGAGACTAGTTAGCAGATGCTAGGTTAGCCTGGGACTTGGGGGAAAATGGACCACATTGAGACCTTAGTCACCAATGAGAGTGGTTTAGATCCACTCGGAACATTGCTTCCAAAGACAAATGGCGTACAGAGAAAGTCCTCTTGGCTGACTTCCTCTTTGCATGGAATGTGTGACCTACATTCTCTATCAGCACATCTATGCATAGGGTGTCTTCTTTGGTACTGCGGCCGATAACTGCGATTCATGTCTCCTTAGAGTGTGTTTTGCTGTGCTAAGGCCAGGCAGGCATTTGACTCAGCTCAAGGGTGACTGGTTGGCATTGATAAGTTGGTGTGCTAGCAGGGCACGCAGGATGTGGCTTATGGCCAGTTGATAGTAGAAGTTTACAGCCAAGGGGCAGTACCATCTGATGGTGCTGATTTCTTGGGTCTCCATTGGCTAGTTGGAGAGGAGTACTTTCAGAGTACCACTTTCCTTCCACTGTTGTTGCTTGGCACTTAATATCCTTCTGATTCAATTAGGAGAGGAACAAGGATGAACACTGCTACTGTTAGAACGGTTGAGACGGTAGCACTGTTGGGAGTCCTTAGTTCCTTGTGCTTGTTTGCACCCAGAAGAAAATCCCAAGTGAGAGGCAGATTAGTTTATCTACCTGAGCAGGAGAATGTAATCTAGCTGAGAAACCTGACTAGATTGCGTTCTGGAAAGAAGAGCTTTTCTTATTTCAAGGCAAGAATCTTTGAGAAGCCTTGCTCTCTTGGGTCTGCATACCAGAGAAGAGAGCAGGGCCATGGATCCAGGCTTCTGCAACAGAAAAAGAAGACAAGTCAGAATGTTGTACTGAGCCGCAGCAATGCATGCTTTTCGGGGAACCTTCATTCACACGTATACCAGATAACCACCAGGCTTCAGGCATGGCCATGAGCAGCAAGACCAGCAAGTAACAGCTTTTGCCTTGCAGCCCTGACCCCAGTGTCTACTGTTTGCGATACTGGCAGTTTCTGGTTGTGACCCACAGCAGATGCTGTTGACTAACACCACGGCTTCATCAGAGAATGTGAGGTTGTCGTACCTCTGGGTGATGAAGTTGTTTTAGTAAATCCATTTTTTTAAAAAGGACTTGTTTTTACTTTTTTCTAAATGTCTCTGACTACTGACTGTTCTATAAATAGATTATTTTTCCTTTTTTAATATACATATATGAATATATAAATATATATTTACTGTTACCAGCAGCATATGACAGTTTCAGCATCGAAAATTCATTTGGGGCTTCCTTTCTCTTGCATTTTAATAATAAAACAAAAAAAAAATCCCATTCCTTCCTTGTAGTACAAGGAGTTAGCGCTTCCTTCTCCATGCTAGTCTGATGAGATTTTTCCACCTTATTTTTGTCCTGATAGATAGTCATATTTCCTTCATGTGTTGGAACTTGTCCCTGTCTGTTGGGAAACAGTTTTATTGTATCTTGTGATGGCTGTTTTGTATGTGAATGTTTGAAACTATGGTGCTGTGTCTTCCTCCCTCCTGTTCTCTGTTCTTGTTAAGGTGTTAGGTAAGCTGTATGAAAACTCTTCCTAGAAGGGGACTCCCTCCCCCCCTTTTTTTTTTAAAGGGGGGAACCTAACTCACTAAAAAGTGTTTTGTCTTCACTGTCCCGTGTCCCTTTGTTTTGGTTTAACATTCTGTGGTTTCACTTAAATACATCGGTTTCTTTTCTTTGAAAGGGGAGAAAGCAGGGCCTAAAGGACAGTCTCGGACCTCTGGGCCTTTCGCCCCTCTCTCTTTTAAAGAAATGTCTTCTAGTAACTAGAAGTGAAATGTACTGTCCAGTTACAGTTTGAGTGGGTATGAGATTTAACTCAAAAGGCATCTATTAAAAAAACAAAAGGCAAATGATTTCCTGTAAAATCCAGTTTCTGTAAATGCTTTTTCTCTACACTTCATGCAAGTCTAGTCACTCTTCTGCAACTCAAAACATTTCAGTGTTTTGGCCAGTTAGGAGTGTCCTAAAAGCTCCACTAGACATACTCTGTCTTGAGCTTTCATAGCGAATATTTGTATGACATAAGGCTCTCGTGGACATTGCAAGGGTAATTTAACAAGTTCATGAGTTTTTGTTTTACTAAACTATTTGAAGGTATTAGTTAAGAATTCCATTGGGCGGATGAAAGCACAATTTTTTTTTTGCCTTTTGATTTTTAAAAATATCTTAATGCTTGTGGGTTAAAAACTGAAGAGATTGTTACCTGGAATACATTCAAAAAAAGTATTTTTCCTTCCTGGTCACCATGAGCTCAAACATCATTGGAAGGCATGAGGCTATGAAGAAGGTGGTGGTTAGTTAAGATATTTTCTTTAGGGAGTAAGGTGGATAGGTAAGGGTGGCTAAGTTTAGGTTGTAATTTAAGTCCTATATAAGGTCATCATCTTCTGGAGACCCTAGAGAAAAATGCAAGATGTTCTCCTACTATGAATAATTTCTTGTTTATCTTGTAACATTTTAAAACTTAAATATGTAATTTAGTTAATTATAACTAAGTTAAATATGTAAATTATATAATTCAGCTGTGGGATTTTCTGTATTTATTTGGAAGTCATAGAGAATTTGGTCTGTCTGAACCTCGGATTAGACTAGGCTGAGAAGAACAGATGGGAGAAAATAGAAAAAAAAAACATAATATGCAAATCTCTTACATTGGAACTGATAAACCGAGATTAATCTACTTAAAAATAAGCTAATGTTCTAAATAAAATATTGTTTTCTTTACAGTAAATTGCTTACTTACCATTGATTCCATTTTCTAGTATTTTTAATATTTTGTATTGAAACTTGGTTCTAAATGTTTATTTACATTCCTATCTCCTTGAAGTTGCAATTCTTCACCATTGGGATTTTAACCTATATTTTCTTCGAAAGACGTTTCTTACTACCTTCGTCCTAAGCTATTTTGGCAAAAGCTATAGAAAGAAAAATTAAAACTGGTAAGTCTTGATATCTCAAAGAGTAGCTCATTGGAACTATGCAAACCCCATGTTTACAAGTACAACTTTAGCATTCGTAACTAGCTTTTTCGTTGGGGTAAAAGTGACATTTTTCTTCCACATGTTTATTTCACTTTCTGATAGTTACTACAGACAAAGCCATATTGAGATGTTGAGCCTAGATACCCTTCCTAAATGGCTGCAGACCAGCTTTGCACTGCATGATTAAAATTTGTGCTTTGGTAATACTCGAAATTATTGTATGTCATCCTTGGAGTAATTGAGAAGTTAAACAAACATTAAATCTGTGACTCCCCACAATCTTCTTTGTTAAAAACCAAGCAAAATACAATAGATCTGTAAACTGAGATTGATTTTTTTTTTTTTAACCTGTGCTTCACTTCTGATCTTCTCTGCTTTTGTCTCTAATAAGTGTCCAAGAGATGTCAGTGTTGTTTTTCTTAGTTTTTAGATTCTGGATATGATTTACTGCACATACAATAAATTCTTTACTTTTCTATATTTTAATTCTGTAGTATAATTGTGTGAACCTTAGCCTGCAGTTGAATTTGAGGATGCAAGTGAAAATTGAGAAAGCCTTTCTGTCATAGTATGGGATTATGCACTTTTAAAAAGGAAAAAGTGACTCTAAATTTAGAGTACGATTTGAAAACTGTATGTTGTGGGAAAATTCATCAATTAAAGTCCCACACGTAACCAGGTTCAATAAAAGTCTACATATAAAAATCTACATTTGAACTAGCTTTGTATGCGTGTAAAAAGTTGCTTTTGCAATAGATCTTTATAAATTTTATAAAGCGGGGCAATTGACTTGCCTTTTCCTTTTTTAAACCCTTCCCCCTTTTTTTGTTTAAAGCATATCATTAACTGTGGATTGCCATGATACGGATAACTTACAGCATGAGAAGGAAAAGAACGGATGTTAATTTATTTTGGGATTGCTGTCTTCTCTCAGCTTGGACCATACCCAGCCATCACTATGCAATGAATGATGTGCGCTGGGAGAAGGCGCTGATGGTTTTTTAAAGCTGTATCCTGCTTGTATTCACTTCCGCAATACTCCAAGATTTCTGAACGGGAATGCCTTTGTAAACCTCTAGAACCCCTGTGGATTATTCCCTTGCGTATTTATTTACTTGTTAGTGACACTTAACTATAATAGGGGCCCTATTTCCCAGGGTTTTTGGTGGTGCCTTATGAAAAGTATAACTTGATTTCTTGTTTCATGAGCATGTTCTGTGTTTCTTTTGTTTTCTGAAAGAGTATTAGATTTGGTAGTTTACATGAAAAAAAATAAAAGTTTTGTGTCTTCAGGCTCACCCCTACTCTGTTGTTTACCTTGGTGGCAACTCTCTACGGTAAATTTAAGGAAGAAGTATTGTTGCTGAGGAAAAATACAGCACAATACATGCAAGCCTCTTTCAACCGGTCCCAGAGCAGTTCTAAGAGCGTTTTTGCTCGAGCTGTACAATCACAGGATTCAAATGCACTAATGAGTATTGTGGTTCACTTTTTCCAATAATGCTTTATTCCATCGCTAAACATACCTTGAAACAAGCAGTCCTCAGAGATTTCGCCGCCCGTCTTTGTTTTCAGCAATAATCCGATGAGGACCAACGGCTACTTCACCATCTTTGGTTTTTGCAGAGCTTATTTCTGCAGTGAACCAGCCAAGAGCAGAGAAAATGAGGGAAAGTGTGTTTTCTCTGGACTCCTAATGTTCAGAACAATTCGCACAACAATGTGCTTTGGAGAAGAAACTAGTACTTTTTTACTGTCAAGGCAAAAATCATTTCAGATCTTGCAGGCATGCAAATGTGCTTGCCAGGAATTGTCCCCAAACAGAATTAGGTGACTGTATGTGTTGTGTATAATGGATGAAGACGCGTACGTTGGAGCTATATGTAGTTGGTGGGAAAGAAAGAAAAAAATCTCAGTTGGAAAATTTGGAAAATCTCAATTTCTCAATTTGGAAAATAATTTTCTTGCCAACAAAAAGATACCTGGAATTTCAAAATTTTATATTTTTATCAGAATTTCATGTACTGTTGCCCCAACCCCACTTAGGAGTCTGAATTTCTTTTTTTCTTTCTTCTTTGTTTTTATTCAGTCACCGTGAGCTACAGTTAAAAAGCTTTCATGTTTGAGTTTCAGTCATACAATGATCGAACACCCGTCCCTCCACCCATGTACATTTTCCACCACCAATGTCCTCAGTGAGTCTGGATTTCTTAGATAAATGATTTTTTTTTTAATTGTGTTGAATCCTCACATGTGGGCCACACATTTCTTGGTCTGTTGTGATGACAAAATGGAAGATCTGAACGTGTCTTCATGGATTTAGCCACATGATACAAGTAACATACCAAAGACTAATCAATACCTTGAGTTATTTTGTTACTTTTTGACTACATATTTTCTCTTTTGGGGGGTTGGGAGTGGAGGTGGGGGGTGGCCTTCCAGGAGTCCTCAGGAGTTAGTAAGGGAATCACTTCTGGCAGAACTCAGGGTGCCAGGGATTAAACCCAGGTCGGCTGCGTGCAAGGCAAAAAGCCCTTTGTACTCTTTAGCCCCTGTGTTTGCTCACTAAAACAGATTTCTCCTCTAATTTTAGAAGGGAAGAAAACCTTTAATATTTTCTGTACAGAAAAATCCCCGGAAAGTTTTTGGTTTGGGCACCACACACGATCGACGTTCAGAAGCTGCTCTTCTCTCAGTGCTCTGGGCTTGCGCCTGGTGGTGGTTCGGGTGCCTCAGAAAAGGCATGAACCCCAACATTTGGGGGGAGAAAATGATCATGACTTGCTTAAAGGCATAAGATCTTGTTTAAAGGCATCCTGATGGAATGCGAGCAACACAGGAGTCAAGTTAGAATTCTGTATAGTTAACTTTTTCAAAAGCCCAGGTCAAGACAATATAAAGAACACCAGATTTAGGAATTCAGTAATCTGGATTTTAGCTCTCAGTCAGTCTCACCTGAAGTCAGTTATTCAAGCTTTGTTTTTGTTTGGGCTCGCAACCTGCCATGCTCAGGGCTTACTCTTGGCTCTCGCAACCTGCCATGCTCAGGGCTTACTCTTGGCTCTGTGCACAGGAGTCACTTCTGGTGAGTTCGGGGGGACCATATGGAGTACCAGGGATTAAACCCAAATTAGTCACATACAAGACAAACTTCCTACCCACTGTACTATTGTCCCAGTCCCTCCTTTGAGCCTGCATTTCCTTTGTGGGTTACTTCACATAGATAAGACAAATTTGGTTGAAACTGAGAGATGGGGCAACCTTTAAGATAAGTGACTTTGAAAGATGTATTTTATGAAAAGTTCTATAGAATTTAGGAAAATGGAAAAGGTTCAGACATTTAATCCAGCTTCCCATTTAATGATTGAAAAATCTGTTTCGTACTCCTTACAGTCTACCTTGAATATTCCACTTAAAGGAAAAGTATCTAACTTTCAAATTTGAGTTTACTCTTAGTCTTCACTTGGATCTGAATTTTGCAGTTCATCAAATACTTAAGAAGGGATGTCTTGCCATTCTGTTCTATACCTGGAGGGAAGGTGGGAACATCAGACACCCATTCAACTAATTGTCCTTTTCCTCCTGACCTGCCTTTTGGCCTTGGTCATTGCCCCCCCCCCCCCACCCCCCCGCGCTTAGGCACCCTGGGCTCTGCTTGCTGAAACTTGTAAGCCATTCGCATTGGCGGCTTGCTTTAGTCTTTCTCGCCTCACCCTGCTGCCCTCTGAAACTAAGCTTTCTTGAGCAACTAAACAAGATTGTCCCTAGAAATCTTTTTGAAACCCAAACAGTAATTCATGCATATTGAGTCTTGCACAAAGCCCAGTGCGGCTGAGTTGTCCTAGGAACCTTCCAGAGTATACTAATTGGGACATTGAACCTGGTTTAATTCACTTTATACCTTCAATTCGTTGCTGCCGTCTAAAATAGAAGCCTCTCTAGGTCCCATACTCCCCTATCTTTACGTGGTAACCCAAAATAATTTTCTTACCACTTTTTGTTGCTAATTATTTGCATTATGGAGGCTCATTTCCCTACTTCTTTAAAAATGTACAGCTTCCTTTAACTCGAACCTATCTCAGTCATTTTCAACTGGAAATGACTCATTCTCTCACCTTACTAATACAAAGCGTGACTGCGTGGAATCCGGCAGCTATTCCCTCTGTGTTCCTGATGGCCTTTGAGGCTTCTGTAATTCAGCTGTACCATTTGTCCTCGTTACTGTCATGTCTGGTTACTCTTTTCTCTCTTTGAGAACTTTGTTCATGGGCTTCTCAGTCCCCAGCTCTGTCCTCATTTTGGGTGGTATCACTGGTCATGGTTGACAGGTTTCTGACCTGCACCACCGGCGATCACTTTCACGCCATTTAGCGAACCAATTCCAGAGTTATCTTTAGGTTCTATAGCGTAAGTTAGAGAATGTGAAGTTCTATGATCCTGTTAATACTACTGTTCTTTCTAAAGACCTTTGATCACTCCGTTTATTTGTGCTTAAGACTTCTAATTCCTCATCCCTTTTTCCATCCAATCTCAGTTTTTGTTTGTTTCACCCCCTTTCTCTTTCCTTAAAATGCATAGAATTCATGAGCTAATACTCGTGCTCTGTTGTTTCCCCATGAATCTGTCCCTGAGTCTCTTAAAGGTACTTCCTTGCTATCATGTCTTACAGATTTTAGGCCGTTGGCCTGGTAACACCACAGATGGACTCAACTTGATAGGCTCCAGGCAGTTTGGCATTGCCAGTGGTGCAGCAAACTCCCTCAAAGGTCTTTTCGTATTTCTCTTGCCAAACACACATCCTTCCCTCTGCAAAGGCCTCTTTACTCTGAGGACATTGAAGCAAATGGGAGCTCTAAACTTCCCTAGTCACTTATGCCATCTGTATCCTCGTCTGTCTCACTAGAGGTGCCCTCTGACCAATGTTATGATTATATCTGAGAACAAATGAGAACCCACCGTAAGCCTTGAAAACCTTGGGCACTTGGAAAGAACGCATATTCTGTAGCTGTTCAATGTAGGATCAGAAGATTGAGTTGGCAGTATTCAATCATTTATAGTCAATGATTTTCTTTCATTGAGAAGTGTGAAAATCTCCAAGATTAATTTCTGTTTTATTTTGGGGGGAAAAAATCCACTGCCATCAGTCCTATGGTCTTCTGTTGTCTCCTTTGATTTAGCATACCAACATGCTAAACTCTCCATTAATGTTGGCCCTTGAACCCATCTCCTTTCTGCACTGTTCTCTTTGTAGCCAAGCCCTACTTGTTTTCTCAACTTCATTTCCAAATCACACTTCAGTCCATTGTAATCTGGATTCTGCCCTCAACATTCCACTAAGATTTTTTTTTCTTTTTTTCTGGTTTCTTGAGGTGTTTTTTTTGTTGTTGTTGTTGTTTGTTTGTTTTTGCTTTTGGTTAGTTTTGTTTGGAGTAAACCTGGGCTCTGTGCACAGGACTCAATCCTAGAGGTGCTCAGGGGACAATCATGGGGCCAGGATATGAACCTGGGTTGGCCATGTGCAAGGCAAGAGCCTTGACTTGCCCTGTATTATCTCTCCAACCCTAAATTGAAATTCGACTAGCTTCTTATGGCTAAGTCCATCTATTGGACGGTCACGGTCCTCCCGTTGTTCATCGATTTGCTCGAGCGGGCCCAGTAACGTCTTCATTGGAGACTTTGTTGTTACTGTGTTCGGCACATCGAATACATCACGGGTGGCTTGCCAGGCTCTTCCGTGCGGGCGAGATACTCTCGGTAGCTTGCCGGGCTCTCCGAGAGGGCGGAAGAATCGAACTCAGGTCAGCCATGTTGGCTGCGTGCAAGGCAAACGCCCTACCGCTGTGCTATCACTCCAGCCCATCTATTGGACATACCAGGTTTTTCCTGGCTTCTACTGCATTTGAGCTACTGCCTACTCCTTGAAAATACTCCATTATTTTCTGGCTCACTACTTTTTCCTAATTTTGAGGAAACGGGAGGACCACATTTACTCCTACTGCTAAGGGGTAAGGAATTTTTCCTCGCTCTGTGCTCGGGGGCCACTCCTGACTGTGGTACTGGAGGTTGAACTGGGATCAGCCACGTGTAAGGCCCTTTACCTATTGCTTCTCTGCTTGCTGGTTTAACTCCTCTCCAGCTTCTTTTGAATTGGTTTCTTGTTCTGATGACCCCCCCCTAAAAATGTCTTCTATGTATCATCTAAATTCCCTTGTCTATTTTCTATTTCATGAAAATGTTTTGTGCATCTGCAAAACTTGCCTATCCTTACTTGTTTTGCTGTTTAATCACCAGGTGTATT